ACACCACCACTGAAACATGGTGGTGAAACATGAAACCAAGGGCCTCAAAAGAAAACAACAGATTTTGTTAAATACTAAGCAAAGCTATGTATAAACTAGTGGCTTAAGAGCCAAAGGTGCTTATTTCAGAGCCAGCACGCACAATCACGTGCTATTTTCTAGCATCTCCATCCACCAGCCTAGCTTACCCTTCACGCTTCTTTTAGAGGAAATGTCCTTCCCACAATGTTGGGACCTTTCCCCACAGATAAATCCATGTAAGGTACTAGTGCCTGCACAGGGTAATCTCACAGCTGCTCCAGGGCTGCACCAATGCTCTTTTAAATAAATAATAAGTTCACTTATGCTTAAAAGTGGGGGTTAAGTGGGCCTTGAAAAATGATGTCTGTAACACATTATCAGAGCAAATTTAACATAACAAATAAAAATTTTAAAAAACAACACCCCCCCTGCCTATTGCAGATTCCAAGCAAAGAAGGAATCCAGACAGATTTGTATCTCTGCTTCCTTGCTATATAAATAGCTGCAATTGACATGCTAAAAATAAACCAGATAAATATTTAAGGCCCAGAGCTATTTAACTTCTTGTCATGCTTACCTACTGCTTACTGTTGTGTAAATCAGGAATAATATCAGTGAGACCAATGAATTTACAGCAGAATCCTCTGCTGAAGTTGGAGGGAGGGATTGTGTTTCCAGCAACTGCAGACGCATCCTCCTATGAACACTTTACCATCAGCAGAGCTTTCCTTAATCCTGACCTACAGGCCCCTTTGATAGCAATGGGAAAGCGAGCACAGGGTTAAGTGCCAAGAAAGCTGTGTGACTCAGAAGCCACACAAGAAGGAAAAAGCTGCTTTATTCAGAGGGGTTTATCTAAAACACTCAGATTGAGCCGTCGTCAGACATGCCTGACCCCCAACAAAACAACAACACGGAAATGTGTGTGATGGCACTGAGATTTTCAAAAGCCGCTAGAGTAAGTATCTTTCACTTAGATAAATATGCAAAGGTTTCAGAAAAAGCAGCATAATGAAAAAATATGGTTCTTTTGCCTAATCAATAAGATAAGACAGGTAACTTTTAAAAAAAATAACTCTTCTTATTATTTTTTAAGGTTATCCTGAACAAGGGCTGTGAGGTATCTACTGCCTGGAACAGTTTAGGAGAAGTAAATATTCCTGGTAGAGCAGTATCTACCTCAGTATCTACACATGTCAAATAAAACTGATTACCATGAAACTACATCAAAAATAAGTAGCTGTGCTTTTCTTTGGTAGACCATTTTTCTCTCCCCCCTCCCCCCCCCCCCCCCCAATAACTCAGTATTTTGCCAGTGAAATACTTCAGACTAATGCACTCCTGAAAAAACAGTTGGAGATGAACAAAATAGTCTCAAATGGCTCTTCTGTCTAATTTTAACTCTAAGAGACCATTTTACATCAAATAAAGAGACAACATAATGAACCTGATAATAAATTGCATTATTTGCAAAGGCACTTATGGAACACTAATTATTTGTGTTACTGGAATAAACATTCAACAGAATCCACCAAAACACGTGGAACAATTTCAAGAGAAATACAGTAGCTCTCCATCCTCAATAACCAAGGAAAAAAGAAAACTAACCCCAAACAACAAAAAACCCCAAACCAAACTGTGTTCAAGCATGTTTTGGAATTGTGTTGTTCTGATTACATGGGGAAAATAGACACAAAGGCTGCCTGTTTTGCTGCATTTCTCTTGCTTTTCCAGGAAACCAAATATTAAGTACCTGGCTTACAAACCTCCTCCAGCAGTTGATCCCACTTCCTTTGACGTTCCCCTCCTACGAATGACACAATCCAACACCCACATGCCAGCTCTAAGAAAGCAGGAATGCTATGGCTTCAACAAACCCCCATCCACGCAGGGCTGGCCAAAGAAAGATAAAGCACCCTGCAACTGTGCAAACAAATTATACCCATTGCTGATGTAAGGAGGCGGAAGGGAGAGCAAAGGCGGGGGAAGGAATAATATCAGAGACAGCATCCTTAGTCATCCGGAATATGTGTTGAGGTTTTTAAAAGCACACCTGGAAATGAAAAGCCTCTATTAGCTCTAGCTAGAAAGTAAACAGCAGGCTTCAACTGGGTAATGAGCATCACCTTGCAGAGTGGGAACTGGAACCCCCAGTGCCTTGTCCCCAGCTTGGACTTGAAGATGCTGCAGGAAACAGGGTCTGTCTCCAACAGCAGTAGGGCCTAAGGTACGTAAGGCTTTGAGGAGCACAGAGGACATCCCCATCGGTGCCCTGCACAGCTGTAGCCCATATTTATGGCTGCATAGGCCAAATAAATCATCATCAGGGAGTGGCTGGATTCTCTGTGGAAGAAAAAGGATTCAGCAGTAGAAAGAGGATTTGGTATTACATCTAGGGTTGCAGGCAGCTTTTAGGCAGCTACACAAAGGCATTGCAGGTATATTAAGGAGTGCTTTACAGGACAGAAATACAACAGGTGGCAAAATCCAGAGCTCCAAAAGCCTGAGGAAAGCACACACTGGGGACATGGCTCTGCACTGCTCACCTGCCTCCTTCCCAATTACTGAAGTCGCAACTTGTCAAAAGCATGGAACTTAGAGGCCTGCATGCTGCTTCCCAGGAATGTCACCCATTCCCAATAGTACCAGCACTGCTGCCTGCCACAGCTATTCTTGTCCCTCGAGCTCTCCCAGCCAAAAGCTAGTATCACTCAGTAATCCCATCTTACAAGACCTGAGAAGGGCAGAGCTGCACCTGTAAGCAAACTCCCCATCTCAAACTATATTTGTGAGCGAACAGTTAAAAATACCACCTTTAAGATCAGAACGCAAGCTCTGCCCTTAGCAATTCCACCATTTAGGAAGACAAACAAACAAGCAAGGAAAATGTCACATAATTACTCAGAGCCACCCTGACAGGAGGGCTGTAGCAAGAGCACTGAGTCTCTTTTATGAAGCATTTCTTGCTGGGGTAGAACGCTGCCTAATAGCTGCTGTATCCTGCTTGAGCAAGTGAGTGCGTTCTCCTTGGAAATCAAGCAAAGGTTCCTAATCGTTTGTGACAGAGTGCGGTCCCCTAAAGCTACATTTTCCATCTGATTCATGCTGAGTGCCTGTAACCCTACGACAGTTATTGAAAGTTAATTAGCGGTGAAGTGCAAAGAGCTCTAGGAATGAAAATACAAGTGAGAACTGAATGTGGATTGTCTCCTTTCTCAGAGAAAATGCTGTCAAGAAGGTGAATGTAACTGAAAAATTATTGCAAATGTGAAGGGGATTCTGCTAATAACTTGGCTATGATTGTCCCTCGCTGTTTAGACATGCAACTGAGAGATAACATTTCTAAGGGAAGCAGGTAAGCACAAAATCCAGCATTTCTTTCTTCACTGCCTTTGCTAGAGCAAGCACCCGAAAAGTTATATAAAGGCAACACCCAAATTACATAAAGACAAATAAAGATATAAATCAATCACTGCTTCCTTTGGCGACTGCAGTTTGTCAGATGTTGCACACGCTATCAAATCCCAACTATTTTTGCCCTTATCCTCCACTTCCTCAGTACTTGCAAGGAATAATCCACAGTTAGATGCGAGCCCAGCCAGCGCAGAGAGGGTGTAGGAGGTGAGGCAAGGAGAGTGCAGCCCCTCAGCACCCACTCCCTGCAGAGGCGAGCGCCAAGACATGGTGCAAGGCAGTGGGCAGCCCCTCCAGGTGTTAAAAAAACCCATCCTGGCACCCCTGGGAGTTGGATCCGGCCCTAAACAATGAAAAATAAACCCAAAAGCAACCTTCACACAGAGGAAGTGTGTTGAGAACAAGGAAGGGAAGACACTAGCAAAGCAAGTAGGTTGGGAAGGTCAAGTGTTGGGCTCAGGATAAAAATATATGGTGATGCCAGAATGCCTTGGCAGAATTGTGTTTACTGATTTTCATGGAACAGGAAGAAAGCACCAGCCCTTTCCACCCCTGAGTGCTGACTGTGACTCACATGCCACCTAAAATGAGTGCAGTGAGTAAGCAGGGACTGAACAGTGGTGGACCTAGCTCATCTACTCTCAGCAGTGGTGGGAACGAAGTGTCCTGTTCCAGGCTCTTCCTGTGGCTGCCTAGGAAACACAGGAAAGTGGTGGATGTCCACCTCATCACAGCACCTAATAACATCTCATTCAGGGAATTCCTATATGTGTGCAAGGGTCGCAAGTGGTTCACGTGAGCCTTTGGTTTTGGACCAAAGCATACCCTGACTGCTAAGGGCAGTCAAAACATTGCATCTGCCAGTCAAACATGGGACCACAATCATAGAATGGTTTGGGCTGGAAGGAAGCTTAAAGCTCACCCAGTTCCAACCCCTGCCACAAGCAGGGACACCTTCCACTAGAGCAGGTTGCTCCAACCCCGTCCAACCTGGCCTTGAGCACTGCCAGGGACGGGGCAGCCACAGCTTCTGTGGGCACCCTGTGCCAGCGCCTCAGCACCCTCATAGGGAAGAGCTTCTGCCTGAGAGCTCATCTCAGTCTCCTCTGTTTTAACCCGTTACCCCTTCTCCTATCACTACAGTCTCTAATGAAGAGTCCCTTCCCAACATCCCTATAGTCCCCCTTCAGATACTGGAAGGCTGCTATGAGGTCTCCATACAGGTTCTCTTCTCCGGCTGAACCGCCTCAACCTTCGAGGGAAACGCTTTTCCCTCACTGTTATGTCCATGTGTTTTAGTCCCCCCAGACGCACCCTTTGAACCCCGCAAAGCTCTAAAGCACAACCCAGAGACACGCGGCAGGGTAAGACCCGCCAGAAGCGGTTCCTCCCGCCGCCGAGGGGCTGTCTCTGCCTCCTGCCAAGCCACTCCTCACAGCAGGATTAGACCGAACCGCGCTCAACCCGTGCCGGGGCCCGGTCACCCCGAGCCGCCCCGCGGGGGCAGGCAGGCAGCGCAGGGCCGCACCGCCCTTCTCCGTGCCGGGGCCCGCCCTCGCCTCGACCGGCAGGGCCGAGGCGGTAGCCGGCGGCGGCCACATGAGCCCGGCGGGGCGGCGCCCCCGGGCCCGGCCGGGGCTGCTCGGGCAGCTCCTGCCTCTCTTCCTGGCGCTGCCCGGGGGCACCGGGGAGGCGCCGGCAGCAGGTACGGGCCTGCCCCTCTCGCCCCGAGGGGACTGCGCGGGGCGGGCGGTGCCGCGGTGTGGTGCTGGGGGGGTCCCGTTTCCCTGCGCGGGTGGTCGTAGGCTGCGAGGGTTCCTCACCCCCCGTCCCGTCGGGACACTGTTCTCCCCTGGCTTCCCTTGGTTTCCATGGCCGCCGGTTCAGCGCGACCTGCTGCCGCCCAAAATGGCGCTGCCCTGCGAGAAGGCCGCGGCCGCCGTCCTGCCCGAGGTTGTGTCCGGGGCCAGGCGCGGCCCGGAGGCGTTTTGGTGTGTTCTGCTTGTGCCATGTCAGCTCGGTCTACACAAGAGCACTGTGCGCCTTACCCTGCGGGACAGGGAGACACGGGCGCTGGGGCTGGCCCGTGGACCCGGTAACAAAGCGACCGCAGATACTCGCAGGACAACTGCCTCGCATGCGGCTGTGGCAGGGGCTGGCGGCTGTGGCAGGGGCTGGCGCCGCTGGCACTGGTTGTCTGCGTTACCCCTGATGGCTTGCTCGTTAGCTTGGCTCAGGACACTGGAGTGCGGAACAGGGCTTTTATTGATGAGGGCAGCTAAAGCCTTGCAGGTTATTCTCAGCTGTAGCAGTGAAACGTAACTGGAGAGATGTTCCCTCCGGGTTCTGCAGCAGATGCTGATTCTTTCCAGTGCTCATCATCTCAAAACTCGAGAGCTGCCTTCTCTGTCTGTCCTCATAGTAGTTAAAATTCTCCTCCAACTCATGGTTACCTGTTCAGAAGCATCTTTCCTTTTGGAATGCGGTTATTTCACTCCGTGGAGCTGGTGTGTTTGAAGGAAATTATTTTCCTCAAGAGGGCAGCTTAAAATGAAGGGGGAGTAAAAAAATACTTGCTAGCGATGTATATGGAGGACATTACTTAGTTGATCCCAACGCACCCTACAGGGAAGGTGTGGGCACTCCGGGCTGCATTCTGGCCCTGCAGGGCTATTGGATTTCCCATCACTGGGTTATCTTGGTCTCAGCCCTGGGTAGTGCCCAGCCTCGCCCGCGTGCTGTGTCAGTCAGCAACACTGCAGGGAAGAATGGAACCCTTTGCACTTCATCTGATGACTCTTACGGAAGCGCCTGTCAAGAGGTACATCCAGTCCTCGCCTGGCTCAGCCCTTCCCGCTGGGTTTGCCGTGGGTGGAAATTAACCACAGGGTTAATTTTTCCCGATAAAATTACCCAAATTTCAAACCAGTTTACTTCAGCAGGATCATCTGTGGACACTTTAGTAAGCACTTTAGTGCTTTAGCAGTTATTACTGAGCTTGGCTTAGACCTACATTTTCTGCTTGGTGAGCCAGATGATTCCCTCTGTTCAGATCTGTAATTATTTTCTTTATTTCGTCTTTAATTATGCTCCTGGAACACTGCAGCAATGCACTGTAGGGTATAGTTTACACACGTCTATAGATTGGAACATATGTTACTCTTCAGAGTTTGCTCGATAAATCTTTCAGGTGCATTTCTGCTCAACAGTGCAATCTGATTTTGAGGACTGCAGGGTGTTCACTAACATTGCAGGGGTGTTACAGCAATTAGCATCCCTAATAAAGTGACTTAACCTTTAACACAAGCTATCAGTGCAGTTACCTTACAGCATGTCATGGCTGGACTATGTCAGGAAGACTTGCTTTACAGAGAAGAATTGTGTTATTTAACATGAGGAACATTTCTGAGGGAGAGGAGTCTGCTTTCTGCGATCAGCAGCCGTGTCATGTGCTAAATGACTATTTAATACGTAAACTGTTTACCTGCTCAGACTCCCACAGTGGTATTCACCATTGGTGTAAGCACCGACTCCAGTGGAGTTACACCCACTCGTGCCAGCAGTGAGTTTGGCTCAGAGGCCCCATTCCAGTGCCACAAAAACACTGATACCAAAGCCAGACTGCCATGGACTACATTTGTTTAAAAAATATCACCTTTTACAAAGGTGTTGCAGTTTCCTCTGGAGCCCAAACGACTTGATGAGAAGTCTAATTTGAATTTTCATCTAGATCATGCCAAACATACTACCCTGCAGCACAGCTTTTACTTCTGATTATCTGCAAATGCTTATGATTCCCTCAGCATGTGCAATAATGAAATGGAGGAAAATTATTCATTTGTATTTGATACGTGCTTAAAATTAACTTTTCTGTCCTCCCCCCCCCCAGGTAGAAACTGTAGTTTCTTGCAGGAAATGGACGTCATCCAGAAACGGGATGAAAGCTGCTACTGCTATGTGCAGAACAGAACCATGCACTTACAGTATGTTTGGTCAACTCTTCAGGTAAGAGGCTGTTTCGGTGATTATTCTGATATGCAATATTTTTCACATAAACATTGTGAGCAAAGTTTACGATCAAAGCAGTATCTCTCTGCAATTGGTAGTTTGAACAGTGTATAGGTAGGACCATGATAAAAATGCAGCACTGCGATCATCCTTTTCGGATGCAGTGAGGTTTGGCTTGTATTTATTAGAAAGATGATAACCAGGCTTATAGTATGATGCCACACAAACATAAATGTAGAGTTGTGTGTTACTTTGTTGCACACCTTTTCTACTGATGGACCGCTCAACCTCTGCAACAAATGTTTTTGCTTATCACCAAACGCCTTCATAAAGCTTTTAAATTTGAGGATAAAATGCGGTTCTGAGTCACTCACTGTAGCATACCAGGCCCCAGTGTAGAAACCAAAGGTGTATTAGATTGTGACTAACAAAAAGACAGCAGTAGCCGTGCATGTCTCTGTTCCTGAGTAACAAAGGGACATCTTATAACAAATATGTTCAGAGATTCACACAAAACAATATAAAAACCTCCTAACAGTGGAAGAGGTAACAGCTAAAGGAACAAGCTGACTATCTGTATGGTTCTTTTTTTTTCCTGGGAAGCCTGTCTCTGGACAAAGGAAGGAAACTGTTTCACTTCATCTCTGTTGGAAGAATTTGCTCTCAGATATAAGGAAGTGAAGTGTCTCTTTGTCTGTTGTTCCCAGGACTGCTTTCCTCAGGAACATGGTGCAGATGTTTTTATGAATGGCAGCAAACTTCAGGTGGTAAAATCCTCTGGCAGTCACACACACTTTCGTGGAGGAGGTGTTTAAAAGCAGGAAGTTCAGATCTTTCCCACAACAAATAGGCTGTTGATGTGTTGTCTCTTCTCTCAGTAGAAGCCGGGTTTATTACCTGTTGCATCACTCTTTATAGATGGGTCTTTGTTGTCTAATCGGCTCTGATGAGAGCTCACAATGAATCACAATCTTCAAGCAGATCACTCCATTTCAGAAGATGGACAAGATCTTTTACCAGTTTCATGGGGGGATGTGTGCTAGGGACAAATCCTGAAATACCCAACAGGAACGTGTTTATATTTAAATTTCTGGTTATAGCTTTCATTTTCCTTATTCCTCTTCTGTCCCTAACATGAAAATTGCATTATTAATTACAAGAAAAGCAAGTCCAAATTCTTACGGTTCAGGCGGGGAACAGGGAAGTCTATGCACATCCACAGAAGTAACTGTTGTCAGTCAAAGATTACTGGTTTTGTTAGAAATTTGTGTGTGGGCAAGTGTCACGGTAAATCCAAACCCACCAAGTTTTCGGAGGGATTGAGGTCCCTCCATTGAACTTTGCTGACATTGAGTTCTCCGAATCACCTTCTAAGGCCTAAGCAGCAGATCTTTACATAATATTAACCAATATGAAACAACTAAGACTTGAACTCAAACTCTCTGTACAGATTTTCATTATATGCTGTATAGTTCAGAAGAACACCCCCCACCCCCCCCGTGCTTCTAAGCTACTTCTCTGTGTATTCTGTGGTTTGTTTGTAGGTAAAAATTAACAGCAGAGAACTGTTCAGGTTTGAGCCCATTTCACAGAACAGCAACTGTCGTAATTCAGAAACTGTTTTTGAGTTTGCTGCATGTGCTGTTCAAGTCTTCTGGAAACCAGAGACAGCTACAGAAACCAGAGTAAGCGTAAAACAATATGGAGAGGATATTTGCTTCAAAATACAGCCCCTGAAAACCGAACCGTACATTGTCAGTGTGAAACGAGAAAGTAAGTAAAAAACCTTTCCATTTGCATTACAGATAACTTAGTATTGCCACTGTTTCTGAATGTACCATCTCTTCTGTAAGAAGCTTGGAACTTTTCTGTTGATATTTTATAATCAGCATTTCAAACTGAATTAGTCTAAAGTCCTTTTCTATTTTTTTCCACCTTTTTTTTTTTAGTGCTAGATGGAAAGCTCTTGTTTTTGTTTATTGCTGGAATTTTTCTGTTCCATTTTGCAACCAGCCTGAGCCGGTGAGTACTAGCTGCTGGTGTTTGACCTTCTTTCCCAAAGCCTGTGCATCTTCGGTCTGTTTTCTAAGCTAAAGAGGCGGTTCTTTGGGAAAGTGAAATAAGGAAACAACATATATTTACAACTCCTCCATACCATTTCTATTTGGAGTACTGCACTCTGTTAATCACTTAGCTGTGTTAGAGTTCTTCTATCCAAGCTTCCTTCACTGGGCAACACCATGTCAATCCTCAGTGAGCAATTGTGGGAATTCATACAAAATCTCTCTCCCTGTTGTAGACCAGTGAGGTTCAGCGGATGCTAAATGCTGCTGCATGTATTATCAGTGATGCTTTCTTGCAGAAAGAAATGTTTAGGATGAGATCACTCTGGGGCCTTGTATGCCTCCACCTCTGTGCCAACCTTTCCCCATCGTTCTTTCAATGCACATTTTGGACAGCATGTAAGGGAGGATAGTTAATTATTATAGCAAAATAGCGGCCCAGGACTTCAAAGCAAAATGAGTCACACGTTAATTGTTAGGAGGCACCTCTGAAACAAGCAGAGCAGCAGTAGGTTTTATAGAGTTAACTGAATTAAAAAGTCAGATTTTATAAATTAATAAGTTTAGGGAAAAAAATGACTTGTGGGTTTGTGGAGATTTTTTTACATTTTAAATTAAAAACAAAACTAACCAACCAAAACAGCAACAAAACACCCACTTTTCTTGCAGTACAGAGCCATATTGGTACACAGAAGAAAATGAGTTTACTGGAAATTAGAGGGTCAAGGCAGTCAGGAGTAGTGTGAGCATTAAAGAAAACAAACCACAATCTGCTAGCCTGGAACACCTCCAGTGACCTTAAGTCTCTGTTGGGACTTTTTCCTTACATCAATTTAGTATGTGAACAGGGCCTATCAACCATGTAACTACAACTCTTAACTTACAGCTGTGCTAAGTTCTTACTGAAGATCACTGCTGCTGTTTTTAGAAACACTGGCATCGTAACCAATTACAAATTACACTTCTCACTGTATTCTTTCTTGCTCTTTTACAGGAGTACCAAGTTCTTTTACCTCTGTGGAATAATACTGGGTGTTCTTGCTCTGCTAGTCTTTGTCCTGTTGATACTTAAAAGGTTTATTCCAAGGGTAAATCTACATTTCTAAAACAGTAATAAGCATCATCATATAGAAATGAAGAGTACAAAGCCAGATTCTGACCATGCTCTGTCCTTATGGCTCTGTTTTAATGACTACAGATTGCTTGTGTCAAGTAAATACAATTAGGTCAGAATCAAGTTCTAGTTAGCTTGCTCCTGAGTTTAAATAGAACAGGAGGTTGTTGATGTACAAGAATAATTTATTCTGAAACATAAATTATTTTTACTATAGTGGAACTAAGTTTACTTTAAATCTCTGAATCAGTCTAAATCAAAATGTGGTGTTAGTGGCAACAGGGACAGATTCTCTTCCATTCAACAGAGAGAATTCATTGAAAGGGGGATGTGAATTTTTCCTTCTGCAAAGCCCATGCATTCCCACAATATTAGGATGTCAACTGGGAATACACTGCAACAGGCTTATACCATGACACCAGAGCACTGTACCATAGAAGTGTAGTAAGTCATCTGGTTTTGCCTGCAAGTTCCCTTGCAGAAAATAGTTGTGGCTTTGATTTGAAATTATTTTAAAGGTTTTATTTTTTAAAATATATTTTTAAAGTTTTTTTTTAATATTCTTTTAATTGTGGTTTGTTTTTTTTTAATTTCCAGCACAGCACCTTCTGGATCTTAATGAGTGGCTGCTGGATGTCCTCTCTGTATTTCATTTACTGCTTCAAAGAGAATATGCAGTGGTTGTGGTCTGAACACAGAAACTACTTGTTGGGTAAGAAAATCATCAAGAAATGTGCTGCAGATTTTAGTTTAATTTAGTGGTCAGATGAATACCTGCCCAAAAAAAACAAAATCAAGTGAGACTTATTATAGCATACTTTTTCCTCCTAAGCAGTAGATGTTGGAATATTCCAAAGGTTCCTAATCCATTCAAATAAGCATTTACTCATTAAATAGGAGTTGGATATAGTGGCCATTAGCAGCATTAAGAGCAGATTTTGCCTGTATTATTTGTCCAGTGATCTGCCATTACATACTTTCCCTGTAACAGAAAAGGGTGGCTGTGCTGGCTCAGATTTTACTGGGATTTGGGAACTGGATGTGGCTGCAAGGGATGACCAATGTATTGATCTAGCATGTGCCCCAACATTCTAGCATGGGGAGAATTCACGTGCATCTCAGAGCATTAGCTAAAGGTTGTTCATAGATCACCTCCTTGCACACTTTTGAAATAAAAAGCCCACACAACAGAAAGCAGGTACCTGTAAGACAATATAAGAAACAGCAGGCTGTACTTCACTGCAGTTGTAAGCTTTGTGAAGCAAGCTAATGACATTTATATGAGTAATTTATATCTTTTTCCCAATATCCATCTCTTCTGTTTCTACAGGGTATTTTCTGGCTGTTGGAATGACCAGCTTTGCTGCTTGCTATCAGCATGGACCTCCTACCACTGATCTGAGCATATCCTTGTTTGCATGGACGCTGCAGTTAACAGCCTTTGTCTTGATTTATTGTGGAGTCACCATACCTCAAGTTGCATATGCAGTAATAGCAGTCAGCCTCTGTTCAAAGGGCCTGTGTTACCCCCTGGGTGCTGCGTGTCACATAGGCAGGTACGTATTGTATCTGTGAATGTCCAAGGCCCTGCACTGCCAAGAAATGCAGAGGCTGATAATGAAAAAACCCATATGCTTCAGTAATGATTTATGAGTTTCTAACAAATTCACATTGCTATCAAATGTAAAGCTGCAATAGGAAAGGTTCAAAGCCCCAAGACACAGGAATTTTAATTATTTTCCATTTGGCAGGTTTATGCATGAGTTTTGTTCTATGAATAATCGAGAAATGTGACTGTTCTTGAGTACAAACATAGCACCTTCTAGTCTGCTGCATATTATAACCAAAACATTTCTGTGTGGTTATTTGGTCAGACTGAAGCAATACTGCCTTGGTTTCATGTTCAGGGAGAGAGTCTGCAGGTAACTACTGAATCTTATGGGATAAAACAGCGTACTGTCACCAGGGAAGCAGATGTTAACAAGTGACAGTCCTTGTAGGTTACATAAGAGTTCAGAGACTAAAAACCTATATCCACAAAAATAATGGTTTCCAGTGATCACAGTTCAGAGCAGCTGATACACCCATTATCTGTTGTTAAGATCAGTAGATCCCACTAAGCCAACAAGACTTTTACCATTTGATCTGAAGAAGAGTTACAGTTCATTCTTGCTTTACAGGGAAATAAGGAGGAAAGCTGAATGCTGCTGGTTGGAGCAGGTGTTTTATACAGAGCTGAAAGTTTTATGGGCATCCAGCCCTTGCTTATCTTAACTCATCACAACATTTAAATTGAAGGCAGTCGACAGAAGGGAACAGAACATGGCACACTTTCTAATTGATATCTAATTATATTATACAGCGCTACGCAGCAGCTAAAAAAACATCAGACTGTAAACATTTTGGCCTCACAGTACTCAGCTTTGTAATTTAAAGCAAGATTTAAGAGAAGTGATCTAACAAACATCATGAACAGCTCATAACAGAGCACTGCTCGTCTTCAAAGTTACATATGCAGACTGGATTTTGATTCAGCCCGCGCCTCTGCACAGACACATTTTGCATATTGCACCTATAAATGGCTGAGCAAGCAGCCATCTATCTAATTCTATGAGATTTTAGTCCATGCGTACACAATAAGGACCTCTTCCAAAGCTTATCTGAAGTTCATTAAATACCATTCTGTGCAATTCTGCACTGTCAGTTAAGACCTGAGGTAAACATGCTAGCAAACGTTAGACACCTTGTCCTAAAATTTTAATGCAAAAATGTAGCTTGTCCTCTTAAAAGGATAAAAGTGATGAACTGCATGTTAATAGCAGGTAGTAGAGAAAAAGGACAGACAACAATCACATGCCAGAATACCTTAGAAATACTAATCATTTTCATTTCTTTCCAGAAAAATGAAGAACCACTTTATATCAAAAAAGTTAGTGTTTAAACACCTTACTGAAGAGGAGTACCGAGAACAAGGTGAAACAGAAACTGTCAGAGCTCTGGAGGAGCTACGCTTATTCTGCAGAAACCCTGATTTCCCATCATGGTTAGCTGTATCCAAACTCCAGTCCCCACACAGGTAATAAAATCTGGCTTCTCTAAAATAGGAAACACCTTGTACAGACACTTACAGAGCAGATCCAAATGCCACTTCAGGTGCTGTTCCAGGTGTATCTTGCACGTAGTCAGATGTGCAGATGTGGGTAGCTTTATCTTCCTGAGTAATCCCACCAAAGATTACTGGGATCCCACAGCCAGACCTCTCAAGGATATTAGTGGTGGTGTTAAGCCCCCTCTTTTCTCCTCCCTGACCATGAATTACTCTGAGTTAATTCACAGTAATCACAAAAGGAAAAGCCTACTAATGCTTCTCGGAGTTCCCACACAGTGACACAGGTGGATGGCTAACCAGCAAAATGCCCCTTTCTTCAGTTTTCAAAGCAGTACACTTCTGCATTGTGTAAAACTGGGGCAGGCTAAAGATACATGTTCAAATATTACCTATGTTAAGTTCTCCCAACCGCGAGCCTGCACAGCCAAAGAATCCTATTACTTCAAGTATCAACCAATAGCTAGGACTAAGAATACAGAGAAAGAAATCAATGCCAGCACCTAGGAAGTGTACTAAGTAGAAGAACTACTCCAGATGTAGTTTAAGAGACCAACTTAAGACAAATACGGGATAGGAAGGATTAGATAAGCGCAGCCAGAAAACCTTGCAGAATATAAGATTAATCATAATAGCAGTGTATTTCTGTCCAGACTAAGGCTTCGGGATTTCAGAAACAGAGTGTCACATAGTAGCCAGCCATAAACACTTGGCCCTTGCTACAAAACCAAGTGTCACAATTTCAAACTAGTTACAGAAGCTTCATCTTCCTTGGATGGGCACACGGGCAGCCTCTCTGCCAGGTTTTATAGATCTAAACCATCTTATTTTCTAAGCTGGTTGCACTCTGTAGCATGATTCAAAGATACAAAAAGTGAAAACTCACTGCAGTATTGTAAAACAAAACAGTGCCAAATGCACAAAACAAACAATGGAGACACATGTATTTGCTAGCCATCTCAAAAACTGTTCCTATAAAAATACAAAAAGAAAAAGCAGAACCAACAGAAGCCTGATTTAAAGTTGAGTACCCCTTCAGGCTTCCATTAAACATCAGAAGATAGTTCAACACAAGGCAAACCTGTAAAACAGCCTGGCCAACAGCCAGTTCCCAATTTAGACTAACAGTGCTTCCAAGAAAAGCGACGTGACAGCATTCGTGTTACAGAAATGTTAAGTCAAAAACGTAAATTATTGATCAGTTTACCAGAACTCCAGAATGTGGCTGCATTTCCTTTTTCTTACATTTCTCTGATGCTGTCGACACTTACCAGGTGTCAGAACTGCCGTCTGTTTCCACATGCCTGCCAGAAACCTCCAGCTCCATTCTAGCTCTCCAGTGTGGTTGTCCACTGAAAGTAAGATTTGTGGCAATCTTAAATGTAGGGACAGTGCTTAGCTTAAACACAAATCTCCAGTTTGGTGTTTAGACTTTAGCTCAGCTTGCCCAGGGTGCGTGTGCAGCACAAGAAGTGAGGTGACATTGCAGCAGTGTAAGAATATGATGTTCTCACCATTTTTCCTTTCATTAGCAGTGTCAACACCTGAATTCTTACAGCCTTTCTGTCAGATATGCTACAGCTTTATTTTTAGAAGCTGAAGTGCCATCTATCCAACTGTACAAATGCTTACTCTGGATTACACCATGAGCACTGACAAGATGTGAAAATGAAGTTAGATCTTCTTGCTTAGTCACAAGACCTTGCAGATGGCCTCTAGAACAGCAAAAGTTACTTATATAGAAAAGGCTGAAAAAATGAGGTGGGAAAACAAATCTTCAGGGTTGTTGCCATCTGTTGTGATTTACTCTCTGTTGTTCAGGACTCCCTACCTCATGCTGCAACTTCCCCTCGTCAGCACTGCCTGCGGGCACATCCATACAACATCCCTGCTTAATTGGTAGTAGCCCCTGTATTTACAGGGTTTTTATATTTCTCAGTTGATCACTTCTCCCTTTAAAAATCTGGCAGGTTTGCAGACTTTGTTCTGGGATCTCCCCACATCTCACCTGCAGAAACAAGGGCACATGAGGAGGAATATGGCATTGGGAGCTTCTTCCTGGAAGAGCAGCTCTTTGAAACAGGGACAGAATCTGAGCAAGATAATCCAACCAATTCTGTCCACGAAGGAGATGAGGCGGATGAAGATGAAATGCATAAACAGATTTCATTTCCATATGCTACCGAGTTGCTCTGAGCTTTAGGAAATATCAGGATGGAAAATGTATTCACCCTAGAGAGGAAGGATACACAGTGAGAACTCACGGTTGGTGATTTCTTGTGGTTGCTGGTGGACACAGGGATTTTCTGAAAACACTGTTTCCTGTATGATCAGAGCAACAGAAGGAAATCATAGGGGCTGTTCAAGTGAAGAGGATTCTCATGCTACTGGTACTTTAACTGGGGAAGTAAACATTGCTTATTTCCAGAGTGAGTACTGGCAGCAGCCTGTCCCAGCAGGATGCCTTGTTGTGCCAAGGCTACTACCTCTAGAAAATGGTACCTGTTTTGGTCCTTTTCATTGTCAAGTCCTCTGTGCTGAGCACTACAGGGAGAAGCCATTATTAATACTCTACGAAGTACCCTATGTGTCAACAATTTTCATAATGTGCTGATAAACTGTGTTTATTGCTTGTGAGGCTTTTCAGTGCTAAAGAAGAAGTTAACACAGCTGAACAAGGTTTGTTTGCTCTTCTGGCTAGGCTTACTGCACATTAGCTTCATTTTGCCTCTTCACATTTGTTTTAAACTCCCCTAACTCTTCAGAACCCTGCCTGACTTTTCACCTTCCACTTGTGTTGTTCTGTTCATGGTCTCTGCTCTACTTACATTGTACTTTCCATGTCTTTGCTTCTTCACATAACACTCCTCCATCTTCAGCAGGTCCCTCTGCAGAACCTTTCTTCACTCCACTGTCTCTCCATCTGACAACTGCAGGTGACTTAGGAGAGGGTTTCCATCCCCAGATGTATTTTTACTGTTGTCTTACCTTGGATGGGTGCTGACGTCCATTCCAGACCCCTCAGGGGCACAGAAAAAGCAAAGACTGAGGCTGTTTTCAGCTGCTCGAAGGAACTGCTGTCAGCACAGCTGGAGTGATGTTGTAACCATGTAACTAGGAATACAGATAACCCACACAGAGCTCCACTGTCCTTGGAATATGCAGCTATTTACTCATTCAGTAAAAAGCAGAAAGTAATTCCTGGCAAAACAAGGAGGGATGGATATGGGGCTTCTACCTCCCCTTCTTCAGCCTTCAGTCTGGTACTTAACACAGGAGGTGTGTGGGGAGAAGTAAAGAACAGGCAGAAAAATTCAGACTGTCAAGTACCTTTCAACTTATGTATTACACAATCCCAGGCCAGGGAGTAGGTCATGTCCCCTCAGTTCACCCACCTGCAGAAGTCATTTCCTTCTTTTGTTCTTTAAACTATCTCTGTATTCTGTCCTCACCTTACTGTTTTACTTTACTGTCTTCCAAACTGCAGAAAACAAAAGACCATTGATCTGTCACCATCTGATCTTCCAAACCCAAAAGGAGTTGCTAAGTGGTGGGAAAGGAGTCAGCTCTCCAGAAGAGCATGTCCGACCAGGATGTATTTGCTTTAAAAGGGACCTCTTTTCTTTGTAACATGCCTCATGATGCAGCATGACTTCAGCGGTGCATGCACAGCCATGGTTTCTCATTGTCTACTGCTGGGCAAGGGAGAAAATCCGTTACCTCTAACAGTGCTGAGAGATGCTGCTGTACCACATTCCAGGAGCTTCTCCGTCTAAAACAGGAGAGAGAGTAGGTGCTTGGAAGCGTTTCACGTCTCTTCCTACTTTATAATGATTCAAGTTCGCTTCATTTTAAAAGGAAGAGACACTTAGCAGCCTTTTGTGCCATAAATTTATAAATACATATGTAGAATTTATAGCATGTTTAGCAGAGAGAAGCCCTCTCTAGCGGGTGATCCAAAATACACTGTCAAGTCCACAACATTCGAAACAGTCCTGATGAGCAAGGCCACTAGCAGTAAGATTCACTTCTGAGAACCAAATTCACAGCTAATACCAACACGCTCTGGAAGTGAGACTCTGTTTTGGGGGTTCTGTCACTAGCAGGAGGCTGGAACTGTTAGCTGTTGTGAAAATGGAGGAAAGCCTCATTAGCTTTGATGGTTTGGGAGAGCAATGGAAACTTCCCCCAATGATCTTTGTAGACTAAAGATGTATTTTACCTTTGCCTGTGTTGCCACCATGAAGTACTTAAAATTATTACGGATTAGTCAAAAAAGGCTACTGGAAGAGATGCCTAGTGGGTTTTGCATGTTGTAAAGTACACAGGTTTATTTCAGTGTACTTTGTAGTGAGCTAAGAACTCCCATCCATTTGATCTGAGGCCAGGGGGAAGAATCAGATTTGCCCTGGCTCAAACCCAGAGTTTTTCTGGATTTCCACTTTACTGAGGTAACAATGATTATCCCCCCATAAGTACATAACATGTATGTATATGCCCAGATAATACCTCAAGATAGTATTTTACCTAAGCAATATGTTAAACATGAAAGCCCCCCAAAACAGGCAATTACATTTTTCACACACTGTTCCTTTCACTGAATTATTTAGGGCAATACCAGCTACACCAACACAGTAAAAAAAACACTAACAAAAAACCCTCAAACCAACCAAGCAAACCCCAACCCATGTTCTCTGTGGCTGTGAGGTCCATCATTGGCCAGGGATGCGTAAATACTATTCAAAGCAGAGCAGGAAACAACCAAGTACATCCAAGGTAGGTGCAGCAACGTGAGAAAGATGATGACTAGTTTAGTGGATAGCCTGATACTGATGTTAACAATGTTCCCAAGGCTGTTGCAACACTGGAAGCACTTCCTAAACAAAACCCAAAAAAACCAAGTGCTGTTACTTGAGCCCTTTGCCAACAGTGAGTTTCCTTGCGCAGTGCTCCTGTGATACATGGAGATACTACATAGGTTTACTGAAACACAACTGTTAAGTACTGTCCAGCATTTAGCCACAAAATCTGGGAACAGAATCTCAATGTTGATCTATTGCCTTAACTGTTATAAAAGCCTTTCTTCTTTAAGAAAGGATGAGTCACATGTATCTTCTGTTTCATGATGTTTTAAAAAAAAGTTAGAATTTTGTATTTATTTGGTATGCATGGTACAGCCCACTTGATATCCTGTCTGTACTTTTCAAGGTTTTTTTAAATTAAAGTATTTGTCAACTTTATCCTTCTCCTCTCTGACGCATTTACTGTCTTCAGAGCAGCATGACATATGACAAGGAGGAGCCAAGCAAACTGGGTGTGTGTTCATGTCCTGAGGTTTTCTCCCTTGTTGCAGATTTGTTGCACTAGCCATGGTTGCTCCAAAATAGTGTCCCCTCTACCTCAGATCGATCTCCCTGAAGGGGCTCACCATTCCATTCTCCCATCCTGACACATCCAAACCACCAACAAAGCCAAATTCATAAGGTGACATGGTCCAGCACATATACACTCTACATGTGCAAATGAGGAAGCGAAGATCTCTCCCTGTCAGCACTTTTGTACTCGTGCAAGTTGGGCAGTTGAAAGTAAAAATTTAACTGTCCTACACCCAAGGTAAGAATAAATTCCACACAAATGTGCCCTTGTTAGGGTAGGTGCAAATGTATATCATTAATCAGAAACTGGAAGTATCTCCATACAAGCTGACATGACCTGCGCTCAGAGCAGCCTCTGTCTCAAAACCACCAGGTAACAATCCAATTCTGACTTTCCCTCACCATGTGGAGATTGTACTTGATGATCTTAAAGGTCGTTTCCAACCTCTTTGATTCTATGATTCTGTGTCCTGCACGCTTCATATCAACCTGTTCGTGAAGCACATCACAGTGCATCCCTTACATTCCCCTCGCCCCACAGAAGGGAATTTGTGCCTACAGTCAGATTTTTATCATGAAATGCATTTTAACACTGTGGAAGAGCAGGTCCCAGGCTCTAGGTTCACCACACTCGGGGCACTGCCATTCACTGAACCTAGGAAAAAAGGTCATTACCAGTGAATTCTTCCCTATTCTGGTGATTATGTTCAGTGCTGGCACCATAACATGAGCAAATGTAAAGAAGGTTCAGATCAATACTATTGACTACATTATGGATATTTTATATTTCTTACCACGGTTTTTACAGTTTCACAAATATAAAAACCCAGGTGTACATGTCCATTTTGCAACATAGAATGACTATACGATTCCAAAAAGAGCAGGCATTTCAAATACACGATTCTGAAGTGTAAACACAGTGTACAAGCTCTTCACCCCACAACCCAGTGCTATGCAGTAGCAGCTGAGGTAACACTGTACAGCATGAACTCAACAAATGGTTGGTTTGCCTCAAAATGATTTTCAGCATCCTTCTGTCACCTGTTCAGTCTTTAGCTCTCCTCCAAGTTATACAAACATACAATAAATACATTTCTGATTTTAAAGGACACTTAGACAAGTCATGAGGATTTACGTGAGTACAGTACATTTAAATTCAAGTGCAAAAAAAGTAACTAGTGGTTAGTCATCAATGTTTCTTTTTATTGTCTATGGTGTTGGTCCCAGGCACCACTAGAACATGGGTTATTCCAAAAGCACAGCTGAAGCACAGCTACAGGACGCCCCTTCAGTAAAACCAGGTAAAACTACACACCTCCTTCGCTGCTTAGCTGCTGCCATCTTCCTCTCCCCTAACCCTGTGATCCTGTTGGTCTGCCTCAGGATCACTGCACAGTCCTACAGCACACGTCTTCCCCACAGAAGGCCTGACAGATCACAGACAACTGGTCTCAAGAAGGGCTGACCAATACTCACTCGGTCCCCTAGAAGCCGAGTGCTCAGGATCTCCCAGGAACAAGCTGTTAATACATGCAAATGGACCAAACCACTCTCCTGACCAAACCCCCAGGCTCCTCCCTGAGCCCAAGGATTCCCCTCCAGCAGCAATTTTCACTATGCACTAAGTGAGCCTGCTGCAGTTAATATTGAAAAGCTTAATAAAACATAATCCAAAGTCATCCAGTGTCTTCACACTGGGCAAAGTAATTTCCTAAACATCCTGCAATTTAATTACGTTTGCTTCCTCCTGAGAATCTCTCACTCTACTTGATTTCTGCATCAACAACTCTGCCCCATAATCCTAATTGTTAAGATTTGCAGGTAATTCCTCCTTATCCCCCACCTTCCCTAGGCACTTAAAGCTTACTCTTTTCTTAATAAATAATCACAGTAACTACACTGCATTAAATAAACCACTGTATAGGTGATGAAATAAAAAACCCAAGAGGAAAGTGTGTCCATTGAAACCCTTGATCAATCTCAGGTTGTGCAATCTTGACCAAAGATTTTTGTCTTGATACAACATCAAACAAAAAATTACCCAAACACACACAGCCAATGCCGAACTGAAGGGCTGCAAGTGCAGAGGTTAACTTCTTCAGAAGCCTTCCTCCAGCTCTTTTGTTTCACTAAAAACTCAGTTCAAAAATCATTGCTTTGCAGAACTAAACCTTTATCTCAAACAAGATAACATTAGATTCAAAAACATTCTTTGAATATGTGTGTGTTTTACTTAATCCACCACCGTAACAAGAAGATACACTTCCTAAAGCTATTCTGATTCTGAGAAATCTTTACAGTTTCATGCTGTTCCTATATTTATTGGGTATTTTTTAATAGACTATGCAAGGAAACTCAAATTTCTCTCCTAAAAAGTCTTCTCTCATTTTATCTTGGGAACAAACTCAATGAAGAAAATTATCCAATTAAGTCAGACACTCTGTGCCTCAACAAGCGAGGAGTGAACTCCCTTTTTTTTACATAGCACTTGACTCAGCTTTAGCAAAGCAGCCAAGAATTCTTCCTACCGTTAGATCCGGCCACATCACTTCCCTCAAGAATTCCGAACTTTGGCTTCCCTGCCGTGGTGCTCTGCGTAGTCATATGAATATCCTTTATATAGTTAAAAGCTTGCACTGCATCACATTATGATCATTAAGATGAAAGAAGTCCTACTTTTGAGCTCCTACTCCAGTATTTCCCAGGTGAGAAGCAGGATTCCATGCACTGGATTTGATAAGATGAGCGCATCTCAGGGCCCTGCAGCAGCAGGCTGAGCATCATGATCTGACACAATGCGGTCGCCATCTACTTGGGAATCTGATGTTGCTGTAGGTATTGGTGCTGAACAATTGCTGGACTGCCCAGAATCTGTTGGATTTTGGGGTTGTCTTGCTGAGCTGGCTGATGAAGCACTGCAATTCTCATTGATTTTCTACAGAGAGGGGAAAGGATTGCATGCAAAAAGTAAGTATAAACACTCATAACATTATCCCCCGTGGTACACCCCAGATGCATTCAGGCTCTTCTGAAAATTTACAAAGCACTTACTTTCAATGCCAGCAACAGAACAAATCAAACTTAAAGCAGCAAAGCAAAAGCAGTACATTTAAATCCAGATGACACTAATAGCAAGCAGACAGTAGCTTACCTTCCATCTCTTTTCCTAACTGCACTTTCCCAAGAAGCATGCAAAAAACAAGCTTGTTGTGTTTCAAGGGAAAAAATACACAATTAACTGGACTTCAAAGTGTTCAGACAAAATCATTCTTTTGACCAAGCAATTCTATAAATTGTTTTTCATGCTCCTTGAATATATAAATGCTCTTACTACTCAATAGTTTGTTCCCTAATCCTTCCCCTTGCCCCAAGATATTCCTCAGACTTTCTGAATGGCAGAACTTCTGCAATACTGCTGTATGATTCTAGCCAGGCTACTCAACTGGCCTTGCTAATGAACATGAAAGCACATTTAAATACTGGTTACATTTCGCAGGGCTGAAATAGCAAACCTTAACACCAATACATTCCACTTAGAAGATACCACACTATGACTGCTTCTCACTGAAGAACAGAGAATATGGAAAGTATATCTCTTTGCTTTAGGAGTATAAGCAAGCAGTAGCAAAATCAAACCAAAGTCTTAGTAAGAAGGAATACTTTCTGTCACCAATTCCATTTTCTGTGTACTGACCCTCCTTCCAAATGATCTGTTTTAGTTTTAAGGAGGCTATTTAAAAAATTCTCTCAGAGAGCCAGGCAGCGTTTTTTTTAGTTTCAGTCTTTTACCACCAGCCTAAAATAAATGACTGAGCAAAAAAAAAAACTTGAAGTGTTTTGGGGCAAGTTTGTCCTTTTGGAGCACTGAAACAGGGATGAGAGACGTTAGAAAATAGAGATGATGAAGGATGTGGTGTGCACAGAATTTTGGCACATCAACAAGAACAACTTTTTTATCAGTACTGTATTTTTACAGGAAGGAAAGAATAATGAAGAGATTACGTTCCACAGGGAACAGGCACAAAAGCCTTTCTTGCCTCTCCGCAATTCTCAATGAAGCAGCTGGGGGGTGAACAACAGAGCTGGACTAGTCTCTCTCAGATACCACACAACTGCAGAAACATTCTTTTCTTGCCATGTTCACAGCATAAGGTCTGTGTGACTGCTCTTCTCTGATTTAAAAGGGGATGGCTTATACTAACCAAGACCTTGAGGGTATTTACCAATGAGAAACAGAGCAGTTTATCTGGACAAATTACTTTGATGTCAGAGATCCTGTGATATCTTCAGTGTCACTATAAAAAGAGATGCTCTTTGACTCAGTGAAGATAAAAAAAAAAAAAACCAAACAACCCCCCATCAACCTAAAGCAGACATGCCTGCAGTATATTTTCAGGAATAAAGACAAGAAAGGCAGGAGATCTCTGACCGCATGACATTCCTACACACTCTGCTCTGCTGATTCACACTCATCTCCCAAATTACCAATTTCTAAAGACAGCAGTCATGGAAAAAGCATTTCTGTGTTTACGCCTACCGGGTGCATACAAAGGAATCTCACCCACTCCTTCCAGGCAGGTAAATAACAGTGGTTTTAACATTAACCATGCTGTTCTAAAACCTGCATTGATACCGCTGCATAAGCGGCTCCCTTCTGAAAGGCATGTCCAAAGCGTTAGAAGATAGTTCAAGATCCAAGCCCATCTAACCATTGATGAAGCTATTAAAAGGTATCTTGGAGGGAGACGGGACAGAAGGGAAATGGTGTAAAGTCACAGAATGGCTCTTATCTGGTGTAACTCTAGATAAGATGAGAGACTATTTTTATTTGAACAGAAGGTTTGTATCCCATCAGTAGTTGTAACACCTATTTCTGCAACCATGTAGACGTTTGACAGGATCACCCAAGGAAGAAAAATTAAATAAAAACACATTTTACACTGTTAAGCAGCTGTGTATCTTCAGTTACCACCTGGTACATTTTGAAACATGTATGACCTGCACATTCCAACTAATACCAAACCAAATATGAACTTAAAGGGAATTCAAGTATATCCGAGCTTGTAAACCAGAGTCTCTTCCTATGTCTCTCCCTGTCCTTCCAATTTTGGGAAAACAATACTTGCAAAAATAGTTACTCCTGCTGTATTATACACGGAGAACAGCTCCGTTTCATGCAATATTTCAACTACCATGTCAGAACACCAAAGTTATCACAAGCTGACAGAGAACACCTGCCAGGTACTAACAGATTTACACAGCTGTAAAGGTTTCAAGCACCTAACAAATACGTAAGAACTTCCTGTAGATTAGAAGATTACCTGCAAAGGCTGATTCTCGGGAGTTGGATGGGTTTTGGATAGTTTAACCATCTCTTTGATCTGGTAGACAGCATAAGCTAAGGTGACCCACGGAGAAGAGCTGATGCCCCAGGCAGGCTTGTTCACATCCTCTTGATCTTCTTGGTGCTTAGTTTTCTTTACAGGAAGTCTGGGCTCACTCCGAGGCATGATATCTTCTGACTGCTGCGGTACAAGGTCAATAGTTGCTATAGGAACAGGACTGGAAGGCACTGGGATCCTTTCCGCCAGCATTGTCTTTTCTGAAGTTTAAAAACAAAATAATCACTGGCGAAGCCAATGAGCTTAAAAAAAAGCCCACCCCAGAACAGTGAAGCAGACAAAGAACACTAAGTATTTCTGGCTTTAACAGACCAGTTATCACTGCACTGAAAGCAGAACACTGGCACTAACAGCCAGGAGCCAGACACACCACAGTCTAGTTAGGGAAAGAAGCCATGGATGGTGCCTTACAAGCAAGGCTGTTCTGCAACTGCAACAAGGTATTTTAGATGTCTTCACAGACAGGAAGGGCTAATGGGTATGAAGCAGCCCATTTGTTTCCAGGTAGTAGAAATCTGTGTTTTCATGTTACATGGAAGAAGTCATTTTCACGTTACATGCAAACTGGAAATAAGCCTTTTAAACTTGTTGCAAACTTCTTTCTCTGTGTAAAGCCTGCATCTCACAACTCACTCGCCCTCTAGGTAACTAAATACTGGCTTCAAACAGGAACCATTTGGTGAAGGCACATGGCCTGAGTCATCAGAACAGTCCTTTTGGATTTTAAGATTTTTAAACCTACTCATTTGACTTAAAGAAGTTGTTGTACATCTTCACCACTTCTTTTTTTACTTGAGAAACAAACCATCCCTCCATAGTTACTATGGAGTTAAGCAGTTAGTGAGAAAAAAATAAGGTTAGTGACACATGGGAGAAGATGAAATATCTGTAACAGAGTTTCAGGCAAAGGCAGAAATCGTTCCAGCAGATCTTTAGATCTAAGGTTTTCTGATAATCTGAAATAGTTTTCACAACTGTCTTGAAATGTCATTCACAAAAAACTGTCATGGCCCAACACAATGTACCTTACAACTTTGAAAAGCCAGAGTATTTATATATGAAAAGTAATTGAGCATTTTTAGAAACTGTTAAGATATTTTAAGTAAGAGCTCTATGTTCTCTGTGAGTCTGTAAATAACACTGTAAATTTTGAGAAAATATTTTTTTCTGAGTAGAAGTATTTTTGCAGTTAAAAAGAACTTTTTTTTCAAAAGTATAAAATTGTATTTTGTTTGCAGACTTTTAGCACTGGATATTTTAAGCAATGACTGGATGTTTTCTAATACTGAAGAAATGAAGAGGCTAATCCTGCACACACTTGACCACATGCTTAGTCTTACTCATCCAACTGGTCTGGTTGAAAGCGATCAGATTAGTGCCATGCTTAAAATGAAGATACACACTGTTAAGATGGGTAGCGCATATTAAATGAAAACCAAAGACTGAAACAAACTACAATAAGGCCACTAAGAATAAGCTATTCTTTTGTAGGTTCATGTGTAATTAAACAAAAGTTGATGGGAAACTGAAGCAGCAAATACCTTTTTTACCTTTCCATTTTTTGGTGTTATCATTTGAACAGAGAAGAAGAAAATTCTAGCAAAATAGGAATTTGAACACCTTATTACAGACAACTTGACAACTAGTCAAGGACAATTCATTTAATAGTCCAGCTAAAGAAAACTAACTTTCATTTTCATTTCATATTCAAAGCTTATATTGCAAAGTAACATTTGGGTAAAAAGCTCAAAAATTCATGACTTTGCAGAATTTGCTCCAGTTTTATTGTAATTATTAGCTTTATGCTAAATTCTTTGCACCAACTATTTCATTTTCTGGTTAGCCTTTATACCAATAAAGATGCAGATTAAAAAGTTCAAGTTCCACCTGAGGGGAGATTTCTCGGGTGCCGTAACAGAACTCAGGAAGCTATAGAAGTCTGTGCCCTCTGTAGCCATCTCTACAGTTTCTGGCAGAGGTGATGGTTTGGACTGGTAGAATATGACAGCATGCAGTGGCAAGGGTGACCATAAAGAACTGATGCAACTGACATGACTCGCTGTATGTTCAGACTAACCCAAGGGATTCCCAGAACTAAGAGGACTTATGGGTGGTAAAATATGTTATACTTTCCTCCTACTGACATCCAAAACTCAGTGCTACCCTTCTTACAGCAGCAGCACACTGTCATTGCTCAGGAAAAGACTTCCCACTTGAAAATAAACTGTTCTGTCAAAATCTGAGTAAAGACACCAAACATGCAGAATTAAAACCGCAGGAAGAAGCTTCAGAGATACCTTTCTTTACTCGTTCTAATTTTGCAGAGTCTCAGAGACATTAATATTTACCTTCTTCATCATCAGGAACCAACAGCCACTGGATCAGGGCAAACAGAAGAAGAATCACTAAACAAGCCATCCCTATTCCTCTGAATGTGGCAGCAGGACCTGTAATGAGATTTATTTTTCTTCTAAATTGAGAATGTACTAAGATGAGTCAGTATTATGCACTCCTTGGGTACATACTGTCCCATGTAGGCTCTTATTAGCCTGTTTCATTACATTTTCCTCCCTCCAGCTGTTGAGCAGGCTTTGCAAAGGATTTTTAACCAAGTAATTAGATTCTCATTTGCTCATGGAAAGGCTGCATAGTATCAACCTATTCTCTCACAAAGGATTCATTCATCTCAGTCATGGATCAGGTTAGAGATTTGCTCACACAGTACTAAAAATATCTAGGCATAACATATTTAATTAATCTGTAATGCTCCCAGGACAAAGCCACAAGCAATCTGGTCCGCATTCAGTGGTGACCTTGTTTTGATCAGGAGCCTGGAGTGGACATCTGAGGTCCCTCCTAGCCTGAGCAGTTCTATGATTCCACAATTTACATGTAGTGCATTATTACTCTTTAAAGCACAACAAGACCTTGAGCATAAGTAAGTTTAAAGCTGGTAGTTCAGTAAAACTGTAACTTCAATAAATAAGATGAAAGTTTTAAAAGCAATTTTTGCTTACCGAAGTAATTGACCAAAACGCCTCCAACCATAGCCCCGCATCCTCTGCCTAGACCCAAGTGGAGACCTTGCAGGATTCCTTGGGCTGATGTTCTCAGCTCCGGAGGCACTGCTGCACTAAGGTATGAAATACAGGCTGCCCATATAGCTGCATGAGTGACACCTAGAGAGACGAAACGTGAGCAAAGAGTTCACAGTGTTCCAATGCAATATCAAAGCAACTGCACTCATCAACTGGAGCACATGTTGGAGAACAAAAAAAAAAAAAAAAAATCCCTTTACTGACAGCTCTCTGTGAAATACAGATCAGCTTTTGGTAATGTGATACTGGCAACCAAGCCACAGGGAGACATGATGACTCCTCCTGCAGAGTCTGTCAATAGCTCTTTCTCCCTCTAAGATGACCTCACTTCTCTTCTTGAGACACAGTCCCTCGGAAGATTAAGTAAAGTGCCTTAGATGTCTCCCTACCAGATTCCCTGTCCCCTTGAGAGTGACCCTGGGCATCTGAAATACAGTTATAATTTCATCAACTGCAAGCAATTAAGCACTGATGCCTCTCAACAGACTCCTTACTGCCACCATGAAGGCAGTGCAAGGTCATAAAATCTGAACAGTATCAAAGATATCCATGCCATTCCAGAGGCAAGAATTAATCCCCTCCTGCCCTTCTCACTCCCCCCTAAACCATCCACCCCCAAGCAAACTCTTTCTGAACTCAACACCAACACACTCTGCATTTAGCACTGAATGGTCTGGACAAAAAAAAGCACTCAAGCTCCTCAGGGTAGGCCAAAGATACAGATTTTCACGCCTGCTGTTGAGAGGCAGAGTCAGCATGCCCTTCCTCCTGCGATGACTGCATCCTGCGTAGGAGCTGCCGCACGCTGCTGCCGCCTCCCACTTCACCCACTCCCGCTCTCGGGACTGGCGCAGCCAAGGGCCTTGCTGCTATAAACAACAGCCACAGTTCCAAGACAGCCCCAGTGCCACAGCAGAAGTTTTGGAAGTCTCCTTCTGGCACGTCTTGTAGATTGAGGGTTACAATATTTCTTCCCACTGCAGCAGAAGGAATGGCTAATGCCCCATCCCTGGCAGTGCTCAAGGCCAGGCTGGACAGGGCTTGGAGCAACCTAGTCTAGTGGAAGGTGTCCCTGCCCATGGCAGGGTATTGGAACTAGATGAGCTTTTAAGTCCTTTCCAACCCAAACCACTCTATGATTCCATGATTCTAGGGGGAAATGAGCTGTGCACAAATGACCCATGAATGATCATCATCAGCACACAGAAGCAGGCTTTAGACGGAGCCCTCATCTTTGAGCACCGGCTTGGTGGGGGTTTGTGGAGTATGGAGGACAGGACAGGAAAAGGCAGGGTTGTGGAGAAGTTGGAAAAGCAAAACAGTTTATTAGCTCATCACACACTGAATAAGCCTGAACTATTTTGCCACCCTCGGATTGAGTGGGAATACTTTTTTCTTATTTAAGTGGTATTAAAAATAGTCATCACAGCTTACCAATGCGTCAGCTCTACTGCCTCAGTTTAAAAGAACATTGACACCACTGATGATTCAGTCAACATGTTTCTGTCCTCTACATTTGACTTATTAATGAATAGTTGGACACTTAGTAATTAATTAGCCATTAAGGCTGAAGACTGCCAAGAGCAAGAAAATACAGGATTTTGTAGCATACAGACTAGCTTGGATTTTGCTTAGGTGTAAAATGATAAATAGCACTGACTGGAATGGGTACAGGTCAGGTATAGCCATGTTACATATCCCTACATGTCCAATTTCATTCCAAAGCTAAATGAGAGTTTCTCAAGCTTTGGGTTTGTAAAGGCCACCTTTCACCTTTATACATTGCAGAGGTGGTTTTGGTAACAGCACATCACCTTGGTGAAAAATAAAAAGCTTACATCAGGATCAGAGCATTTTACCTTACCATTTACAGTTTAAGGCTTTAAAACTCAGACTTTCCAAGCAAAAAGCTCACAGTTTTAAAACTCACTGAATATCTACTTTTTTAAAATGCAGACCCGTGTATGCACTGAAAATAGCAACCAAGAACTGTCCCAATAACAAAGCAAAGCTAATCTTGTCTAATGTGTTTTTGTTTTAGAAAAGCTATCAATTAATGTAAAACATTCAGCTTTATCAACTATTAAAGAGTAAGTCCCGTTTTAAAGCCTTACAAATCAAAAACACACCAGAAATTATTTGAACCATGAAGCACAACACCCCTGTATTTGTTTGAAAACAAAAGCCCATAACTTAACCAACAGGTTCTCGGCTGTTTTCACCTTTACAAGGCAACCCAGACAGAACATAGTGTTCCCAGTTCCTCTGAAACCAAATCCATGCCAATTTTTACAACAACTTCTGTAAGAAGTCTGGTCTGGATTACTGCTAACCATGATTCTTTTAAGAAGAAGTTGTGTACAATGTATATATTGTGACATCATTTGCAAAACCACTAACTATCATTTCAACATCTGGACTATCATTCCAACAAACGGAACAACCCCAGTGTTATGCTTAGAATAACAATGTTTAGCAATGTTAGGATAATTTACATACAAACCAAGAGCTGAAGATTTAGGGAGCTAAATTTATTTCAGGAGAGATATATATCCTCATTACTGCCAGTTAAAGGCCCAAGCATTTTGCTCTCTCAGTATAACTGTGTTGCTGGTACATCAGTAGGAGTCACTTCGTAGAACAATACTTGTTTTGGAGTTTGCTGGATAACTGCCAAGTGAAAACAGCTAATTTTCAGGTTATCAATAAATTACAAAATCCCTGTTATGTAAATTGGTGAGCTAGCATAGCTGTTACCAGAGAATTTGGACCATTGCTTTGCAAGAATAAGTTGCAAGCTAACTAGTGGATCAAAACTTAATCTGTTAATTGCAAAATGAACAAGATTGCCTGTGTGTTTGCAGGTAGATATATATATATATATATATATATATACACATTTTACCATTTCCCTATGAGGATGCCTAGACATTTTCAGCTATTAAAGATTCAGCCTAAGCTCTTCTTTTCATACACTGCATGTGCAAGTCGATGCAGCATACCTATTCAGAACTCTAAACTAAGAAGCAAGGTTAAATCTCCTCATTTACTCTTCTGACAGTGCAATGCACTTAAAAGAGTCCTCCCCGTTCCAGTTACAGACAGCAATTGTTCTCAATACAATCAACAGACGCAGTCTGGGGAGTTATCTTCCAGAACTCTCTCCATGCCCTTTAGCACAGCACATGGGGATAACCCTCATATTGCAGAAATATATTAAAAGAAAAGAAATTCTTTACAAAATTCAGCTGCAACTGAATTATGTACAAAATTCAGCTCAAACTTAAAACCCCTTCAGCTCACAGAACTGAAATTCACATGGAATTTGACAGCTTCCTGGGAAAAAGTTGTCTAAAAGAATAACAAGGACTTCACTAAGGGATTTAAAGGTCCTATCAACATGGTGCAGTCATGTGTCCCACATGGTATCCATGTGTTCTGCACAATCTATTCTTTCACTGTTTTTAAATACTTCTAACCCCTACACATGCAAAGGAGCTACAACTCCTACCGCCCTCTGTCAACAAACTCATTTAACAAAAACAAGAGCTTCTACCTCACCAAATTTCATTAAGGTTATACCTGTTATCCCTACTGACAGATTCAATGGATATGTGGGGAAAAAAGCAGAGCCCAAAGAAATAGGATTTGGTAACCACTGCAAAAGAAATAATGAATCAAGGAGAGATTAAAATCAGTAAAAGTGAGGAGAAGAAAAGAATAAAGCGGGGAGGGGGGAGTTAGCAGTACTTATAAAAAGATAAAATTCAATCTCCCATTCAGGAACAAATGAGTGAGATTACTGGAATGTAACAAACGTAGTGGCAGTTATTAGACACACAGTGTACTTATGGACTTCACGGACAGTAACAAACGATGATATAGAGGCAGGCTGAAAAGTGCACACAGAACGCAACACGGGGCTGGGGGAGAGTTCTATGTGTTTGTTTTAACTTTCTCATTTGCTGACTATAAACAACTGCAAATAGCAACAATAACTGAAGCATACATGATTCAGCAGTGGCTAGATAGAGTCTGGCAGACGAATTCATGATGAAGTATTATTTTGAAGGTCCTTAGCTTTTTCTTTAAATTACTCAAGATTATACCACGAAAGAAACCCAACCAAAACAGATCACTCACAGCCTTGCTGTAAAGGCAAACTTACATATTATGCAATTCATATTAAAATTTCAGGAGAATAAAAACAAGATTGAAAGCAAAAGAAACTTCTTTCTCAGTCATGACTTATAAGATGCTTCCAGGCACAAACTTAGTCTGTGTTGCCATAACACAGGTTTTTTTCCTGTGATTTCTGTTGAGGTATCTTTAAAACAGAATTCCCTAGAAGGCAATATCCAAAGCTCTGGATTAGTAATTTGTTCCCCCTAGATGTTTAAGCAGGCAAGAGTGTAACACATTCACATCCTTCAGGTTCTTTGCAATATTTTCATATTTTAACACTTGGTATGAATGATGAAGCAACTCAACAGCTTTGGCTTTTTTTTTTTTTTAAAACAAAATTCAGAAGCTTGCTGCTGTGGCAGTTTTAATACAACAAATTGGTTTTGTTAATCAGGGAGGTAAAGAGCTAGGACACAAACAGATCTTTTTCTATGCTTAGAGATTTACACAGTGTTCTCCAATGACATTTTATAGCTCAAGTTAAAATCTACCTTAAAAAGATTTCTGTAAATAGAGTGGAAAAAGTTAATGCAAATTCAAATTATGCATATAGAGGAATAAAACTTCTACGTATAACCTACAGAAAACAGTCCAGGTGGCGCTGCAGAAACCCAAACCCCTGGCTTTAACAAAGACAGTGCAATTATTTTTAAAGGCAGGAAAACATTTTCTGCACTTTAACTATTCTCTTGCAAGCTTATAAAACCAAATACTTCAGTATTCTTCAAATACCGAAGAAACAAAAAGTAAGAGAGTTTAGGTTTTTCCTGGTTTTGAAAAGTGATACCTACCACAAACAAAAAAATGCTGCAAAACCTAAGTTAGAACAATTTGTATTTTAACATCACAAAGGTCTTAGAGACTTCTGGGACAACATGACTTGAAAACAGGGCTCAACCTGCTTTTCACAGACCACACCTCTGTCCTCTTAATTAAATTAAATGGTGAGTATCTTAAAGAAGCTATACTAGCACAAAGCTATTGAAAGAAATTCCTCTCTAGCTATTCATAACAAACAATTCTGCAGTCTAAAGGTACTGATCGAACAATAACTATGAAAAACTACAAAGTATTTTAACGAAGACAGAATGACCCAGAGTCCTTTCAAGAGCCTTTTTGCATTTAATGAAGTTCACATTTTCCACCAAACAGGACTTGCAGTAGGCGTGTACCTGGGTCGTGCTTCTGTCTCTTTGTTTAGTTAAAGGGTGTGCTGGTCTCACGCAGTTCTGTTTGAATAAACAGAGAACTGCGCACAATCAGATGCAAAGCCACCCTTTTGACGTCAAGTATTTCCCAAGACAAACAGCGATGTTTTATGAACCTGTGTCTTCTGGAGCATTTGTGGTCAACAAAAATAGAGAAATACATGATTTTTACTTTATCACAGTTCACCTGAAAACAAGCTAAATGTAAGAACCTGATCTTAGGTTGGAAGGGCATTATTGCACTGCCTTACCTTGAAGTACTTCCATTGGGAGAACAGTCCAAGCATTTTCCAGATAGGAGATGTAAATATATCGAGCTGTATTACAGGCAAGACCAATGTAAAGCACTCTGAAGGAAGTAAGGAAAAGAGAAGTCAGGATAGCTTGCACTTTCTTTTTTTTTTTTTAGTATGTTATAGCTTACTGCTTCAGAAGCTATTTGTACATGTACAAAACAGTTTGCCAGTCTAAAGCATATGATCAACGCAAAATACAGTCTAAGTCCTACAACCAAACACACACTCTCCTCTCGCCCACTCCAAATGTATTCAAACTAAGGCTAAAGAGTCTCTTCAAAATCCTAATGGGGAAAAAAAAAAAAAAGATTAGAAATAAAAAAATTCAAAGGGACAGCAAATTCACTGACCCTTTACACTGTGTTGTTCTATCATGCTCTACACTGGATTGTATCTCAGAGAAACCATTTCTAAGCACATACAACATCCCTTCCAAACAATCTTTTAATCATTCAGGGATTCATTCTACCACTTTAATGTAAGCCTGGTGCAGGTTTGTATTAGATGAATTAATTTTACCCCAATTAATGTAAGTTTATAGTCCCAGTATCTGCAAACTGCTCAGAACTACTCTAAAAACACATCCCACAGAAGCAATATGGTTTATAACAACATGCCTCAGGATGATCCTGTTGAAAAGCAGCAGATGCTGCATCTCAAAATGAAGAGGAAAAAGAAGCTCTTGTAACAGTTTTCAAACAATGAAACACAAAGACTATTTGTGCAGTGCATTTCCCACTGCATGTTTAACCTGATTACTTTTCCCTTCTGTTCTCAGATTCAGCTTAGCTTACCTCTAGGATGCTTACTCATCCAGCTACCTATCTCTTATTTTTAGATGGATCTTAGGAAAGAGCAACTTAATTCAAAACATGTTTTTGGCTTAAGAAAAGATGCTATTCCTAACTTTAAAGGTTCTTAAAGGTTGGTGTTTTGTTTTGGTTTTTTTTTTACAGGGACAAGGATAATTTATTATCCAAACATGGCTTCTTGGTTGACCCCTGGCTTTGCGCAAGTGAAATAAATGCAATTAAGGTGTAAGCACAGACACTGTGAAAGGGCAAGGTTTGTGTTGCCTTTTTAATTATTCTGCAAAAGCAGAGTGAGATTTCATTAAGTGGTACATAGCCACTGAAAAATCTAGAGCGAGATGCAATCAAAAAGATGCAGCATCCTGTCAGCATCTGAGGCCTCAAAACATGTATGTTGACAGCTACAAAACCAGTACCATAGTTTTCATCATGTCATTGAGACCAAAAAGCATTCAGAGCTATGCATTTCACAACAACATAGATCTACAGTAGACAATTTGTTTTACTTTCAGCAAGTTGGGTAAGCTTGCAGGAAGCTCCCCCCACCCAAAAACATGCATCAGACCAAGCTGTGTTGCTTCCAGATACATGTGAGGTACATGAATAGCTGGTTTAAGCTGCTTTTAGGCAATGCAAGCCCAAGCATTCATTGAAGAAAACACGGGAAGCCATGAAAAAAATCATTATGATACAGTAAAGAGAAAAAACTTGTTCTTTGAGCCACACATCATAAATTTCATCTTCCCCTTTAATTAATGCCTTCTGCTAGTTCCTTTCATAGCCACAACTTGATGTAATTATTTACAATCACATTTCTTAAGTATATTAAGACACATTTGCCACAGAAGGTAAGCAAACATGCAAGGTTTGCAGGCTCCTTTCTTCATTCCCTTACCAGTATAGACCAGGGTGTTGCACACTCTTGGGAATACAAAAGAACTGCCATACCATATAATTGGTTTTCCCCATCAGCAGCACAGATGTGCCCAGAACTGTTTAGGACCAGTTCTTGCCAGCTTAATTTCACTTTTGCCTAGCAAAAACTTTGCCTGTGCCTCAATAAATTTCTTCCCACCTCAGCTATCCCCTGTCACAGCCAGGCCAGAGATGAAAAGAGGACTCCTGCTCCATAGCATCACCACTAACACACTCGGCTAGAAGGGCTTTTCTGTTACGTTAAACTTGCAGAATGATTTGGATTCAGAGTTACAGATGAGCAACTTAGCCAGGTTCTACCTTTTAATTTGTTAGAATATGTACAGAGTTTTAGGTAAATTGCAGTTTATGAAGATTTCTACAATTACAGTTTTGGAGTGGCACATCACACAAGAGCTTCTGTGTAGTTAGAGTTGTTTCAAAAATGTATTTATAATGATCACTTGGCCTCTTTATCAGAACTAAATGGAAAATGCAAACAGATGTTCCTTATGAACCTCATATTCAATATCCACAGAGACACCGTACTCAATTTACAGGTTAAGCCCTTAAAGCACTGAATCTATATTTATGTTAAGGAGAGTAAGCTGTTTACAGGCATTGCTACCAGTCTCTGCTTCCTATAAAAACTCACATGCTGGAATTGTGGTCAGACAAACACGTTCAAGCTTAACCTCAAGCAGGAAGTTATTTTCAGAGAGTAACATCATCTTCCTAAACTCGGTAGCAGTTTTGGGTGCTTCTACAGAGGATACCATTCAACAATGATGTCTAAATATTAGACAGCTGGTTTTGTACACTTTTGCATCACAATATCCTCTCAAAGAACTTGTGACTTTCACCACACTTTCTGAGGATGTATTTAACTCTTTATTTTCTAACAAAACTCTACTCTGCCATCTCTCAAAAGGTGTCTGGAGCAGAGAAGGCAAAAATACCCTTCTAACATCTGCAATACTCCCCCCTGTACTATGACAGAACAGCTTTTGAGATGAACCCATCACTACCATTACTCCAGATTAATCTAGTGGCCTGCTAATATACACTGTTAAAAACACTAGCAGCATGTATAACATATACACACATGCCGTGCACATGTGGATGAACAGTAAAGCTAATGAAGCCAGAAATCAGGCATTTTAATCACCTCCTGTTTAGCATGGTCATGTTTAAAATGCTTGGACAATAATCTGAGTATTAGTTAAAAAAAAAAAAACAACAACCGAGTGAAAATAGAATAGGTTTCAAAACACTGTAAGGGTCCTATATGCCACCCCATACAAAGGTAGAAACAAAGTTTCACAAGTCAAGAAAAGGAAAACTGAACTTCTATCTGACAAGGGTGTAAGGCCTTCTTCTTGTAGTTCAACAAAGGACAGCCAATAGCATTTTTTCCTCCTACTGTGACAGCACCCGCAATTCTGATGCTCATGCCTTTCTCCAGAGAATTGGGACAGGAAGAAAAGATTGAATGATAATGTTCAAATAAATAATACAGAAAGATTGTCTATATCTAGGAGTCTTAACCCAGAACAAGGAAATTTTGAGCTATTATAGCTCAAAAAAATATATAAATATAGGAAAAAATATATAGTGCTATTCCCGAATACTTCTGGCTAAGATGGTCCCAAAGAGGATATATAGTTGGCTCTTATTAATGGAAGAATTAACATCTGTACTAAAAGGCAGCAGACACATATACAGAGCTATCAAAGAATATGAGCTATGAATTCCTGTACTTTCCTCTTTAAAAAAAGGTTGCCTGCTCTTGAACAAACTATACATTGAACACAGCTCAAAGAGTACAGGAAGGCAGGCAAACAGGAGACAGCTCATAAACTGTGATGACTAAATACAAGCAAGCATTAGGTAACATTAAAGTATGACTAATGTGCATTTCCCAGGTGCAGGTATAAAGAATCTTGTTTCACCGCAAATAGGAGCTAGTGTTTAAACAACTTAATCTTGATCCAGTCTTGTCTTCATAGGCTTAACAGTGCAAAGAAGAAGCAAAAAGAACAGGATTTAATCCTGCACATTATCTTTCTTTTCACTGGCCGATGCTCATGTCCCCTTTTGTTTCATCTTATTCAGAAGCCTACCATTCCTTTGGTTTTTCTTCTTTCTCTACTTGAAGCCTAAGCCTGAATTCTGTGCTATATACAGATACAATATACACAGAAAAAGCACACCCAAGCTATTTTTAGGTATCAAGACTGTGGTCTGTTCTCACCAGTCCTCCATCACCATATCCTTCCTCCAGCCTTTGCATGCAAGTTGTCACATATACTGATTATTGTCAAATTCAGAGATTAAAAGAGTGACTCAAAGTCAAGGGATACTCCTCAGTTCAGAGGAAGAAAGAAAGCATCTTTTAAGTAATCTCTCAAATTACCATGCTAAGCATCTCAAACATTTTTAGTAGAAGTCGAATCAAAAAATTCACCCGAGTAAAAAAAAAAAAGCAAACCTACAGAACAGAAAATGCACAAAAAGAACAGTGCAGAGAGCTTAAAAATACATCTCAGTGACTGTATGACTATAAACAGGGCCTTTGGAAAGGACATGATGCTAACAGCACAGAGCTCTGTGCTCAGTTGAACAAAGTACCTGAGTAAACATAAAACCACCCCTTTATGACTTCATTAACTCAGATTCCCCCCGATCTTTTCTTAAAGAACAGTGAAGAGATTTAGAATATGCAAAATTAAGTCATTATGAGTTTAGCAGAAAACAACATACATTAAGTAACATGTTGGAAGAAGTCAGTTTCACTTACACAGGGCAAAAACTATGGGAGAAGCCCCACACAGCCATCTCCCTTCAAGAGCTGACACAAGCAGCTGCAAGGAACTGAACTGTAAGCGACACCACCAGGCTGCAACCTCATTCTGCCAACACCCAGAGACTGATCCACAGGACATGTGCACAGGAGGTGTGCTCCCCTCACTTCTTCATAGAATCATCCTCCTCTCAGGATGCAAGCGACACCCTTCCAGGCTACTGTGGGGCAAAGAACTGCCCTACAAGGAGAATCAAAGAATCACAGAATGATTGGGGTTGGAAAGGACCTTAAAAATCATCCAGTTCCAACCCCCCTGCCGTGGGCAGGGACACCTCACACTAGACTATGTCACTCAAGGCTCTGCCCAACCTGGCCTTGAACACCGCCAGGGATGAAGCATGCTAAAGCTGGCTAAAGCACGAGTTTTCCAAAACGCTGCTACTCACAGGTTAAAAAAAAGTTAAATTAACAGTATTTGTATGTCAAAACAGTCTTTGAGTGGGTGGCGATTCGCAAAGAACTCTAACAGAGCTTTGCATCACTGAACTAGGATGTCTTCCGAACTGTCTGCAAAAGGTTACAGCGCCAGGCACAATGCACTACTAATGTGCAACTCAAACACAAAGGAAGCTTTTCAGGGCATTTTCAGCTCCTAAAATAACAATAAAAAACTGCATCAGGCAAGCTACATAACTGAGCAGGACTTGAAATTTTAAAATAAAAATCAGCTTACATTTCACTTTGTATCATAAGGCTAAGCCTGAAATTCAGCATCTTTTTGTATAGCTCTTTAATGATTGATAGCATCTTACCTGATATGACCAACCAGTTCAATCAATTTGTGGCTGAAGAAGTAGGCAGTCAGCTCAGACACATGACTGAGCACAGAACAAACTCCAAAGAGTGTGGTGGTACCATTCAGGTCTTCCAAGTGCCAGTACAGAAAGGTGAACACAAAGCCATATCCAAACCCCATGAACCATGCCACAAAGAGCACCGAGCCGTACTGGATACTACACAGCAGTTTTATTAGGTCCCAAAAACTGAATGACTGTGACTGGGTCATACTGGTAGGAGTGTTATCAGAGGACTCATTGGAGGCATTTCTGTCCACCTGTGAGATTTCTACCTCTTTTCTCTTACTTTCGTCTTGCTTGAAGTGCGCATAATGGAATCGAAACTGAGTGGCCACGATCAACGCCATTGTCATCAGAACACCAAAAACGATGAACACTATCCTGTAGTTCTTGTACTCAGGAGCTTTACATCCTTGACCTTCAATGCCAACTTCTGTATGAGTATAGTCAATGCCAATTCCCACAGAGAGCATGGCTAGCCCCCAGCCCAGAGAACCCCACATACGCTGCAATCCATACCGGTCCCTGTGTTTGCCAAGGTACTGCAGAGTTACAGTGTCCACAATAGTAACGGAGGAAGCACTGAAAAATTCTCCTATGATGACAACCAGCAGAATGAGTAGAAAGATGGCTTCTACTTCTTGTTGATCATAAATGAGCACAGCTTGGTCAGAAGGCATTGGCTTTGTGGTGACAGCAGCTGGCAGGGTACTCGGAGTCGTGTTCCCTGGTGAGACCGGGCTAGTGGTGCTGTTTTTCAAAGTCAGATGGGTACTGTTTTCCAAGACAAACTCCACATCATTGCTCTGTGTAGGTAACAGGAATGTTACTTCAGGATTAGCTGTTCCTGTTGTTTCCAAAGTGACTGGGCTGGAAGCGAGCAGGTCTCTCTTCCTACGAGCTTTTGGGGATGCAGTACTGGCTGTGGTTAGCAGAGAAGATGAGATGTTTTGCACAGATGTTGTGAAAAGGCTGCTTGCATTGGTGGGGTGTGCTGGGGGGAGGCCCCTTGGTATGCATCTTAAGGTGGCTGGTCTAACAAATCCAATCCCTAGGTTAAATAAAACCCAGCATAAAAGTGAAAACAGGAGGACAACCTTCCCTTTCTTGAAGCGATCTGCCACCACTCCCCAGAAGGGAGCACTGCAAAACTCAATAAAGTACCTGATGCCCACCAGAAGTCCACTCTGACTGGGTGACATACCCAGCTGCTTATAATATACAGGCAGCAAGGGGTAGAGGGAGCCATATGCAGAATAGAAGAAAAAATAGAAGACCTTTGAGATGAGGAGATCATTGTTTATTTTGACACAGTGCTTTTCTAACCAATCTAGCTCCTCATCCGGGACAGTGGTTGTCTCCGTTGAAGGGGACTCATTATGGGGTGGCAAATCTTGATCCTTGGAAATGCCATTGAAAGGATCAGCAAGCACATACTTCCTCTTCTGTTCCTCTTCGTCGTCGGTCAAAATGGCAACCTTATCATCAGCTGCCATGGTTTACCAAAAGCATCCAGTATCTGTATATTCTCTCAAGGAAGCAAGGCTACCCTGGGAACAAATGAAAGACAACGTGGTTAAGGTACCACACAGGAACTGACCTGCAATGACAGTCATCAAGGACAAAGCCAGCTTCTATTTTATAAGTGACATCCCTGAGCAATAAACGCACCATCGGGGTGTGGAAGGCCATTTGTCTAGACTAGTGGTACGTGATAGCATCAATAAAAATGTGGTTTACGACCAATTCTGTGAAGTTCTCCCAACAGCAGCTTTAATATTGTGCAGTAAGACATATTTCATGTTTAGGACAGGGAATAATTTATATATTCAAAGTTACTGTGGCAATTATGTGCTAGAATTTGCAAGTCTTTTCTTTCAAGCTGTCTTTTCTCCCCCAAGACTAACTGTTTTATTCCCAGTATTCCCTACTATACCAAAGGATAGCCAAGATTTTGTAATTAAGTAATGCAGCCACATATATATCTGTGTTTTTTAATTATCAAAACAAATTATTATCCAAAGCCTCATGACAGCTTTCAAAAGGTTCATCAACCTCCTCTTGAAACACAATTTCCTAAACGCTCCACAACTACAGCAGAAACTGGTAGAAGGCTTAAGCTTCTTGGCTGAATGGCAAGAGAGATGGGAATCAGGATAGGGCTTTAAGGTTAAAACAAGGAACTCTCAAAATTAGGATAACAACCTCAAAGGTATCAAAGACTCAGGAGCAATGAAACTAAAGGACTAAGTACAGACCCTATAATGACCTTTTCAAGTCCAAATCTGAAATTGAAGAAAGGTGGATTGGGAGGTAACTGCACTGTAGCTTCCCATATTTATCCTTTGCAGAAAACTGTAAGACTGGACAAGAAACAATTAAAAATACATTCACCACTACTTAGACTTTGATTTGACCAACTAGCTCTCTCATTTAAAAACAACAGACTAATAAGGTAAGCTACCTAACAGCAGCTTTCCTTTCAAGGAATACAAAGGAAAAGCTCTGCCAGCAGACTACCAGCTCAAAATCATTCTCTTAGGCAACTATTTCTTCTATATTAGTATCTGTAAATTTAACCTAGTATTAGCTCATATTCATTATGAGAAAGTTGAACATTTAGTTTCTTTTTGGTTTTGTTATCCCTTTGTGGTTTGGATTAGTGTTCCTATCACACAGGAACTTTTCCAAGGATCAAGGAAAAGAGCATTATATTCCAAAAGAACCTGAGATTTCTCCAAGAGCATTCGAGTTAGGTTAAGGAATACCTTCTCCAGGAACTTCAAGTATTTTTTTTGCAGGTCTGCACTTTAGTTGCTTGAGAAACACTCCGGTGAAATTGCAGTCTTTCAAAACTCAACCGTAAACATAGTATCATCCCCTTAAAATTAGTCATGCACTGATATAGTCAGTGCCTTTAAATTAGCTATTATTCAGAATTAATTTAAATACTGACAATGGATTTGCAAACCAATGCAAAGCTATTAACAGAAAAGAGACCCTAATGTTGACAAGCATGTCAATTTAACTGTTTCTTACTGATCCAACACATAGCAGCTGATATAACCAACTATGGATACTTCTGAAAGCAACAGTCCATTAAAATAATCAAAACCTTACAAAGTTCAGTGATAGACAAGTCTAAAAATACCACCATTAAAATCCCAAACACTCATGAGGTTTGTGTTCTTCAATTCTAAATGTAATTTCAATGGGATATTACCTATGAGGATCTCTGGTTTCACTTAGAGAGAAAAGGTTGCATAAAAATCTCAGAACCTTAAATATTCATGTATTCAAGTTCAGAAGTTAAAACAATGCCAGCACACACAGAAACTGCTTTTTTCTCCAGTTCCTTCAGAGACAATACAATTTAAAAAAGTATTTCAAGTATCAAAAGATTAGAAAAAGTCCTAATGAAGTTGTTAGAACAGTTCAATGTGAAACCACATTTTCTTGCTCTTACCTGCTACCATCAAAAGCCACATGAACCAAAACCCAGCAGCCGTCTAGTTAGCTCTAGCAATTTTTGATTCAGGCAGCCATTTCCACCTGACAGCTGGAAGGACTGTGGGGTTTTTTACTCATATATTTGCTCATTTTCCACTTCTATATCCATAAAACAAGTCCTTCTAACAAGTAAATCAATCAGTTATCATCTGTGCTTTTATTTTCTTTATCCCTTGCCTGCTTTCACAACAAAGACTCCAGAACTTGTGCAGGGCCCCACTTATGTCAAGGGGATGTAACTGTGGTTTCAGTGCTGTTCTTGTGTCCTAACAAAAACAGCATATGCTCATCTGTTTGCAGAACTTGCTTAGTAGCTGTATCAGAGCTTTACAGCATTTAATTGTGAAGAATAAATTTCCTTCCCTGTCCCCATTACGTGACAAGATAGAACTTGTATTTTAACCACCTGTGTATTAGGCCAACTTCTTTGTAACTGAACTTACCCTGAATTAAAAAACACAGCTATGTTCTTTATCCCTGTATATGACCTCCAAACCATCTGATTCCATATATAAATTATACTGAAGGTTTTTAGAGCAAATAGTATTCAATCTTTTCAAATTCCATTTCCTTTTTTCATTGTAATGGGGTTTCAATTTTGTACACTGTATGAATAGGGGGTATGTTAAAAGTTGTTATATTGCTCATCTTTAAACACTTCAGCTGCTGCATCTTCCTCCTTCCCTCCCTCCATAACGTGTCTCTGCCCCAGCATCCGTCTTGTTCTAATCTGTTGTGAGCAAGGATTAATCCAAAAGATCCATCCTAGTATTTTGACTAGAACATCTTGGGTTAGAATGCTATGAAAAGTTTATTTCACAGGAATTCCAGTAAATATTTTCCTACCCTAAGAGTGTTTCATTGAATATTATTAATAACACAGAATATACTCTTCATAAATGTAACAGCATCAAGACTAGTAGAAGCCATATGGCATTCTTTAATGTTTTGATCACTAGTTTCTTTAGGAGTCAGGCTTTTGAAAGTGATTTTATTTAGCAACTTTTTAAAGACTAAAAATAAATGACTGAAAATGAGAAAAGCAAACTAGTGGTATTGTTATTGAAAAATCCACAGAAAAGTAATCTACAGGGCTTTCCTTATACTGGCAAAAACACCTATACCATTCAGGGACTGAACATGCAGCAAATCAAAGCAGAAGGAAAACCAATGTCCTTTTAAATGAGACTAGTTATCTACTGGTTATTTTAACCATAGCCTTCCAATACTGTATCTTCACTTTGCAAAACCTTTTTTCCAATCCACAAGGCAACAGGAGGATAGAAGACAGCACTACCAGCAAGTTTAAAACGAACAACAGAGTATAAGCAAGGAAGAAAGGTTTAGACAGTAAACAGAACGGATTTCAGTGTGAAGACAGATTTTAACTCATCGAGGCAGAATGAAGCATGAAGTTTTGGTAGAGGCCTGTTGATTGTCATCAGTTCAGCCAGGACAAGCAAGACCAGAGAGGCTGCAGAGTGGTAACATCACTCTGAAAAATAGGAGTAACAATTTTGAAGCTATCTTCCCTAAACTAGACAAGTACACACATACAACAAAGCCCTAAGAAGGAACTTCTTCAAAGATACTGAGAAAGCCCCTCAAAGGGCAAGAGAAAAGGCGTAGCAAGCGGACAGTGCAGCAGTTACACATCACAGGAAAGCATCTCAGTCCTCCAGCAGACAAGCAAGCTTTTGAACTCCCACAGGTTTACATTTCCAAACCAGTACAGAACTCACAACAGGGAACCAAGTCCTTGTTCCTGCACCATCCCATCACCCCTGACATGGCTACAGTGGAAAAAGTCTTCATTACAACCTGAACTGCCCACTTCCTCCCAGCCTATGACTCTACCAGCCCAGGAGCACAAGGCCCTTTGCTCAGAGCTGCCCAGAAAGCTTGGGGCCAATCTGGCTTTCTCAGGCTGAGGATTAATTCTGCAACATCACTCAGCCTCTCAGCAGCTCATGCACAAGTGCAGGCACTTCTCACATATAAAGAATATACTTTTCAACCACAAGACTATTCTTCCTTCAGGCTTTGCACAGATATGCAAATACTAGAATCCATTATTTTTCCTGATACCGACTGCTGTCACTTGGTTCACATCTTACCTCCAGCAAGTCAAAATACACTTTCAAACCCTTACATCAACACATCTTTTGTCCAACCATCTTCTGCTAACAGTTACAGCAACTTTCCTGCAGACTTGTACCTTTGAGCAACTATTTGATGAACAGAGGAAAAATCACGTGTCCCAAGGAATTCAGGGATGACAATGCAATGGTTATTTTAACAAGGCTCTTACACAGGTAGGTGGAAGGAGCAAGTACGGGTATTCTACATACAGTTAAGGATCTTCTTGGCATTCTTGGCTTTTTAATTTCTTAAACTGATCCTCATTTACTCTGGCTCTCTTAGGAATTAAGAGGATTTCAAGCTCAGAAAGGATAAAAAGCTAATCTGTTCAAGACAATCTGATGTTATGAGAAGTTAACTATAAAACGAAAGAAAATTATAATACGGAAAATACAGTAACTAAAACTCAGCTCTCCCCTTGGAGCCACTCTTCCCAAAACCTGGAGAAAAAAACCAAAGCATCTCAGAACACCTGCTTTGCACCACATCTCAGGAAAGAAAATAAAGCTAATGAACAGATCAGAGTGGGTCAGAAAATCCCTAAACCTCTCAGGGAAAACATCATGGCATTAAAACTTCACTTGCATTCCAGCAGAAAGTTAGATTTGAGGGGAAGGAACACTGCTGCTTTTAAACAAAGTTTAACTCAGCATAAATGTTCCATTCATTAGGATTTGAGGACTGAAGTACAATTTAAAGTCACAAAGCAGAGCCTCAAAATCAGGCTTTGGATATATAATGAATGTAAAAAAAAACAAACCAACCCACCAACCAAAAACAAAACAAACAAAACAACCCAGGACAGTTAATCAGAAGACAGTGAGAATGATCAAAAGTAGCTTAACACATCAAATCCCTAGAAAAATCTCTGTAGATTTTTATTTATACAGTCTCAGAATACATACTCTACGAATAGAATTTCAAACCAGGAATCATTAGTTGATCTCTGAAGCAACATGCACCTGTAAAAACAGAGCGGACTAGCTTGCTGTTTGCACTGTGTGGGTAAATCAATGCCACCCAACATGGCATCACATCTTATTTTTCCCTCTCAGATTTTCACAGATTAGCAAAGTTGATGTTGTAGCCAGCACAAGAAATTTTCATGCTAAGAGTTTTAAATCTGCTCATAGGAAACATGTTTCTTGAATAACCTTTTTTCTAAAGTCACTAATTATTGTTTGATTCAGAATAGGTCCGTGCTAGAGAAGCAGACTTAAAAACTCTCCATCTTCTAAAGAAAGCTCACCTCACTCATCCCCCAGCTGGTGCAACTGCCACAAGTGCATCCATCATATTGCTCATGCACAGTATCTCCTCCTCAGCCCCCTTGTCTCATTAATCTAAACTACAAAACCTTTGGATCAAAGACTTTCTGCTACAGGATCTGTGCAGCATCTCTCAGAATTAAGCCCTGCATCTAGCAAGCCTGCAAGGCATTGCTGTAACAAACATGAATAATAGACCATGTTTTCCTTTTCTAAGGAGGTTTCACCCCTAAGGAGCAGCCCAGCACTGTCACCTGCATCCATGCCAAAAAGGAGGAGGATTTTATGCAAACAACTTACTTCATGACAGAGAAGTACATAGGCTTAATTTACTCTTGCATAATGTTCCAAAACCTCTCCCATGTAGCTCAACCTCCAAGCAGAGCCCTTGGAAGAGTTGTCCCCTGCCAAGCCCTATGACCAACTCACACAGGCTGACCCACCTGCCCCACATCACCATCCCCTGCTCTCTAAAGGTGTGCAGTCCTCCTGTGAGGCCCCTGCACTGACACCTTGCTCTGAATTTATAAAATCAGGAATAAATTACATTTAGTGAATTAACTCAGTGCTGGGAAATACATTTCTTTCAAGTCTGAAGTGAAATACTAGTGCTGTAACATTAACCACCACAATTAGGGCTTCCATGAAGTGAAACCACCTCGTTCTAAACCACTTAACTCAAAATGGCTTTATTTTGTGTTGCTGACATGCACTCACTTGATGTGTTGGTCGATAGGCTTTTCTACTTAATTCAATTTGCATGTAAAACCCCACATACTTTGACACATTTAGTCAACTAGATTGAGAAACGACAGTATGTCTGAAATATGTCAAGATCAAGTTTATAATAGGTTTAATGCACTTTATGATAGGTCTGAAGTTGCTAAGTTGATACAACAGTGCTTAACATTAACATTAAAGATGACAAGAACACTATCAGATCCTCATCTGCTAGCGAAAAAGCATTAAACTCACATTTTAGGACTCCTGCTTTCCAATTATGTTTTCTATCAAATATGTTCAAGTTAAGGTGTCCTAGCAGACTCTATTCCTGAATCAGCTTGTCAGCATTAGACTCCATCTTTTTAGCCAGTTTTTAATTTACCAAAGACATACCTACACCACCGAGGTTTACACTTCAGTAGTGACAGCAAACAAGCGTGCTTTCAACTACAGGCCAGGAAAACACCCAGGGTCAGGCCCGCAGGGCTCCAGAAGCAAAGCTGCTGCTAGCGCTGAGGAGGGAGGCAGGCACCGGCTGCACCACGGCCAGAGCCTGGCTGCAGCAGGAGCAGCAGGGCTGTGCCAGCTCCGAGCAAACCCAGCCGTGGGGCAAAGCCATGGTGCTGGGGCTGGGCTGTGTCACGCATCACCCGTCACACTCTCCCGCACTGCTGTATACACTTGGGCCCATGGTGCTGTAACGAAGACTACGATGAATGTCAGGTTGTATTTAAGTTGTGCCCTTGCACCAGCTACATAAGTGATCCACCACAGCTTCCTCACTTCATTAGCCCCTCACTTCATCAGCTTTTGCTCTCATAGACTCACTTCACCTGTTTGAATACTTTTGTTGAAATCTGTTTAGGATTTTTACTATGTTTATGACTGCTATCATGAGCACCATCCTTAAAAAGACAATTGTTTCCTCTTCCCCTATTTCCTACTGGGTCTCCAGAGAATACAAACAATAAATTTCATTTTTGTCCGCTATTAATAACCAAGGAAACAAATACAAAAAAAAAATAACCAAGCTGGAAAACTAGCATTTTACAATCTTTTCCCTTGGGTATTACTAAATACAGTGGACAACTAGACCCTGTGTATCTCAGTAATGTAATGAATGTTTGGGCAAGTTCTGACTGAGATACTTCACTATTATGTTCGTACAGCCACTCTTCGTTAAACTACGAGTTCATCACTCTTCAACGCTGTACTTCTCATTAACACAGCATTTTAAAAGAGCCTGTTGTTAAAACTTTAGAGCTGCTGACCAAACATGGGCTTTAAACTCCATCTAACAGGCATCCATAACACCTATGGTACCTCCAGCACCAGTTCCTTAAACAAGCATCTGTTCCTATGCTTGTTTTAATAAGCAAAGGAGCAGCTGACAACCTGCTTACTAAAAAACATCGTACTTTAAGGATTTAAGGGTTCAGAAACAGAGTGACAGCCACACGTAACACTACAGCTAGATATTAGCAGCACGGACAAGCACAGCGACACCAGTTCCCATGGGACACTGCCCAGACCGCGGCCACCGGCGGGAATGGAGGTGACACAGGCGGGCACGGGACATTCGGCTTCGGATTACCGCAGGTACGGTGGTAACGCCTCACCACAACGCTGAGCTCCGATGATGAGGGCCGGCACCCTAATGAGGTCACTGCTTAGCCACAGCTAACGCGGGGGACCTCAACAAGGGCGAAGCAGCCCACGCCGACCCCCCAGCTCAGCTGAGGAGCAGGTGATCGGCCTCGGCGCGGCGCAGGCAACACCTCGGGAAGGAAGCGCTGAACGCAGCAGCCGTTACGATGGGAAGGAAAAGGCTGAAACCAGGGCCCAACGGCAGCATCCTGGGCGGCTGCTGGACAAGGCCCGTCACTCCAACGGGGAGGAAGCCGCAGCCGGGTCACAGATTAGGAGAGGAACGGCCTCACCGGCCCGGCTCCCACCGACAGCGCTGAAATGCGCCACAGCCGGCCCGCCAGCCGCCTCGGCCACCGGCAACCCCGCGGCGCAGCGCGGCCCGCAGCAACCCCCGGGTCGGTACCCGCCGGCCCGCGGCCAGGCCCGCCCGCTGCCAGCGCTCCGCGGAGCGCGGTCAAGGGAAGCGGCGGCGACCGGGCTACCGCGGGCCTGGCTGCCGGCCCAGCCCCCTGCGCACCGCGGAGCCCCGCTGACTCACCTCGCCCGGGGGCGGCTCCGGGGGGGGCGCGCAGCTGAGAGCATCGCAGCCCCCGCCCGTCGCCGCCTCCTGCCGCCGCGGCTGCTGGGGGCGGTGCTTCCGCGCACCCTCCACCGCCCGCCCCCCCCCCCCCCGCCGGGCCCAGCCGCCGAGCAGAGACGCTGAGGGAAGGAATGGAGCTGGCACCTGCCCGCCCCGTGCCGCCGCCGCCGCGCTCCCCAAGGGCGGACGGGGCTCCGAGCAGGACGGGGCGGCAGTCCGTTTACTTACGTGCTCTGCTGAAGCTGTGGATGGTAGGTATGCACCTCCGCTGGGCCACGGGCTGTGCGTCTGGCTTAAGAATAGGGTTTGGGGAGCGTTCGTGGACTCTAAACAACCAAATAACTCAACAGTCATAGTGCTTCCTGCGCCTGCGAAGTTCCAAACACGTATTGCAGCACAAGGAATTAAATTATTACCTGTAGTGCCTGCCGCAGCCACTCGCATCATCCCTTCAGCATCATCATTTCTGGAATTTCTGGAATTATATACGAATTAAATTGCGTAAATGCTTAACAACATAAACGTACCCACCTCCCCCTCCCCCCCCACCTCCCCAAGCCCCCCGCACTAAGTATTGAGGCAAAAAAACGAAGGCAGGGAGAATAACTTCCTGAGCGACAACTGAGCCGTGTTAAGCTAAGGGAGGGCAGTAATCAAGGCAGAAAGTGAAAGGCTGGTTTAGGATGTGGGGTGTTTATCAGCCCTCAACTGACCCGGAGGCAGTGGAGTTGTCTGAGGACTAAAGAGCTGGGGTGAGGGTGCTCTGTACACAGGAGCTCGCACTGGGCTGCAGTCCAAGCAGTCAGTAACACAAGCAGCCTCCATGGGCTATCCCTCTCCGAAGCACACACGGGCTGTCTCTGCCCAGGACACTGACATTAACTGGGTATCACAGGACAAACACATTGCTTACATCTTCTGATATGTACCTCCCTTTTCTGAGGGAGGATCCTTCATTTCTCAAGAAAAAAAAAAAAAAAAGGCATTATTTTATCCAAGGGAAGAAATTAAGAATACAAGTTTGCATAATTGAGGACAGAGAAGAATGGGAGCACCATGGGTGTTTGACCCATTTACTTTGAGTCCTCATAGAAGTGGTAGAGACACCAGTGCATGTGGAAGGCTGTGCTCTCTTAAGGTCATTCCCCTGCCATGCTAAGGTACTAATGCAGTGTGATCTGTGTATGTGGATATGAAGGCTATTGAGGTCACTGTCATCTCCTACAGTAAAGGCTGCTCCTGGAGTCAGTAGGAGACAAAAGATACGGGAGGTAACCTGGGTGGGAGAAGGCTTGTTTATCATCTGTCTCTGGAAGGATTTTCAACAGTCTTCATCTTTCAGAATATCCCCTATGAGTAGTTCACCACAGACAAAAACCACGTCTGAGACCAGGAGTGCAGGCCTCCAGTCATCTTGCTGAATTAAGAGATAGAGAACTACCAGCTCATATACTGTGGGGTTAATTACAAAATATCACTGTAATAAACCAGATGTCAGCTCCACATAAAATGATTTAATCTGGATGGAGACTTTCTGGCAAATGACTACAAATGCTTTTAGAGAGAACATCTATTTCAAATCATTTCCAGTCACTGTTTGTGAACTGAAAAGAGAAAGCTGATCTTTGTAGTCACAGACTACATTTACTGCAGCCATAAAAGCAGTCTTTCCCTAAACTGTGGTAACTCAACATTGCCCACCACACACACACTAAGAATGTGACCATGTTCTGAAGCTTTGCTTGTAGTTCCTTTTCTTGGAGCTGTGTTTTTGAGAAGCTACACCTTGATCATTCCCCTTCCTTCTACTTGGTTTCATTGGTGCCAGGGATATCCCCTAAACAAACAAACAAATAAATGCTTTCTGAATAGAGGAATCATGACAAAACATGTAAAAAAAAATTCTTTGCAGGCTGTTACATAACCTGGTATGTGAACAAAAGGGTTGCAGCTGAGGACCAAAATACAGAATATGACTAATACAGAGTAATTTACAATGTTTTCTTTGCCCAAGGTAAGAAATTGAGAGAAAACTGCAAGTTTGCATAACTGAGGCAGACAGAGAGGAATGGGGGTACAATGGCATGTATAAATATGTATATGTATCTCTTTATCTATATACATAAATGGTTTCTTAGTGAGTTTAAAAGCCAAATCCAGTACCAAGCGAGTTTGCTGACATGGCTAAGCCTGGGGCCCATGGCCAGCAATCAGTGTGAGGTAACCCCTGCAAAAAGCCTCTTCCAGTGAGGCTCTGTGTGAAGATATGGATTACAGCCTGTTAGGCTTGCTCAGGAACTTCTTTTGCTGTTCTTGTAGCTATGAAAATGAGGATTAGCAAAAATGGAGAAACTGTAGCACTGCATACAAACTGTCCGAATGTATCCTTATCACAAAGAGTTACACATTTATAGCCAAAGCAGTGTTCAGAGAAAGGAAATGTAATTGTACCCTACTTAAAGTACAAAGTTTTCTGTTAAAGCAGTTGCTAGTGTAAAACATTGTAGAAAATAAAAATCTGAGTCAGGTGTAAAATCTATTTAAATTTAATTAAAAGATCTCTTCTTTTCAAAAGGCCTCTGAATCACAGTTAATGTGATACATCAATGTGATATACCAAACAACAATCTCTCTCTTAGCTAATACAGTGACACTAATAAATATGTACCCAACCACTGCATATTAGAATATTCAGAAATAATACTTTATAAAATAACCAGAATTCACACATATACATGCCATATAATGAACTCTATACTACAAACCCACACTGGGTTAAACTTGCCCATGAAATGGAAAGAATGCTTGTGGATTTCTGTGGGCTTTTGGTTCAATGCATATGTCACTTTGTAAAGATTTCAATTTATGTGTCCTACATCACTTCACCATCTATCATGGTGAGAATACTTGTAAAAAGGAGTTACAAATGCTTCACTACTTAAAAAAGAAACAAACGAAATTAATGTCTAAAAGAAAGCCCCAAATAAACTGAAAAATTTAAAGCAGTTATCTTTGAAAAGTATGTAAAATTCCACATTAAATAAAATTAAAATAAACAAACCTGCCCATTACTAACCATGGTAGATTTTGCTTGAAAAGACTCAGTGGAAAATAAATACAGCATAACACACAAACTTCCATGGAAAAACATCTGGTATGTTATATGCATGAGATACGCATCTTGTGCATCTGGTATTTTCCAGTAATGATAAAGATGAAGTATCTGAGCCCCATCTTATGGAAATGGTTTCTAGAGGCTTAAATTTTAGTGTACATAAAAACTAACTGGTTTCTTTCATAAGCTAGAACTGTACTTTGAAATCGAGAATTTCTGGCTGGCACAAAATACTCTACTGTCCTTCGGCAGCTTTTAACTCTGAGCTCTAAAAAAAACCCACTTACATCAGCCAGATTAGAAAGATAAGTTGAAGGTGAGATTTGTGCTGGCAGGACTTGCTCTAGAGTACAATGAAAACATCAGAAAAGCCTTCATTACCTTCAGACCTTTAATATATTTTTTAATATATTTTGCATAGCATGAACTACTTTTTTTTAGTCAGTCCTTTGCTAGGAGAGGTACTGCATTAAGGCAACTATGGTATTTGTTTCTTCCTCTTTAAGAAGTTCTTCATAACACAGTTCATACTTATCCCAGCATAAATCTGGGAAGAAGTCAAGTCTTCTTGTTCCTCAAGCTATGAAGAATAAAGTGGCTTTTCCCTACTGTTTCAGACACTAAACTATATTACCAGTAAAAGTCCCAACAGAGGAACTGAGAAATAGTCATCCAGTGAATCAGCAAATCATACCCAGCTGCAAGCAATGTTAATGGTAGCCAAGGACAAAATATTCACAACCAGTAAGACAACAAGCTACCATTGCAGTGGTCTGTCTGGTTTGGCAGGGAAGCAGAGGATTCTTTTCCTTTGATTTTTAATCTATCACTTTCAGCAGGATTACATTCATTAGCAAAGAGAAGGCAAAGCAATGCACAAAGCCAAATACTAGTTACAGAAACTGCATTTACTTTGACTGTGTTTACTGTGTGTATGTACGCATACATTTTCCTACAGGTTAGGTTCTTCCCCACCCCCCCCCAAGTTAGATTTATGTCTGCATAGTATCTGCTTATAGGGTAGTCAACCTTTCCTCACCCCAAGAACCTTTGAACCTACTAGCAGGTATCAAAATTTGATGTGTGGTGACAGTCTCGCAAATATTAAATTACTATACGGTTGTGTGAACATCAGAGACTGACAAAAGAAAAGAAATGCAAGACAGTGCCCTCCACAGGAAGAAAGCGCATGGCATGAACTCCACAGCCGGCTTCCGTTTGTCCAGTTAATCACTGGCCGTGATTCACTGAACTGCGTGAGCCGCAGTTCAGTTACCCTGTGGTGTCCCTGCCCCTGGCAGGGGGGTTGGAACTAGATGGTCTTAAGGTTCTTTCCAACCCTAACTATTCTATGGTTTTATGAAGAACTGGGGGTCAGGTGAGATAACTGAAGGGAAAAGAGAAGAGACGGCCAAAGCTTTTAAAGTGGTGGAGACAAGGGAACAGATCTAGAAGTATAATAACCATAGGAAATCAAGCTTCAATAGTTTTGCTGTCCACACAGCAGATTGGTTCCATTGGGCTGCTGCTAACATTGGTGCCATCAAATATATGCAAAATCATGATGACTTTGATCCTGTCATAAGCTCCACTGCTACAGAAAGTGCAGAGCTCCACTGACTCTGTAGTCCAGGGAGGAACTAGAGACAATTTATGCAACACAGCTACTGAACCTACAATGAATTCTGCTCTGGCCTGTCTTCATGGAGGGAGGGAAGCTTAACTGGCTACAGCTTTGAAATAGATCTGCTTAGACCTTCTGTTATAGAGAGGTCCCAGAAAAGACCAAACTTAAACAATGAACAGAGACTTTATTCTAAATAAACACCAGAAAACTTAAGTTTAAAAAATCCAAAATTACTAGGGCAAGTAGATTAGTTAAAAACATGACATACATCTACCTCCTCTGCCCCTGATGTCTTGGCAGGATGGGTCCTTACTTCCACACTTGGCCTCAATAACACATGTACATGCCTTCTCCATTGCATTGAGTGTACTAACTATTGAGCCTAACATGTTTTTAATAACTGCAGGTATATGACCGAGGGATGGCAAACTGATCAGTTTTTTCTGATCCCTAGGAAGTTCCTTCTATCCCTTCTGAGAGCAAGGGGTTGAGCAAATACTGGCAGTGAAGCAAGAATTTTTTTTCTATTATTGTCATTCACACCCACAGAAAAAAACACCAAAACCAAACAACAAACCAACATGGATATAGGGACAGATATCTCTGTTTTCCTAATTATTAGTCAGTGACTTGAGGTCAATGGGAAATTGAGTTATCAACTTTTGACTAAATCAAATTTCACGAGAGTAGATTTTAAAGGTAATACAATACCACTGCACAGCAA